GCCCTCCCTGCCTCCCGCGCGGCCGCCGCTGTCGTGTCCGTGCCCGGCTCCCCGGTGGCGGTGCCGGTTCGGTGCCTAAGATGGCGTCTATCATGGAGGGCCCGCTGAGTAAATGGACCAACGTGATGAAGGGCTGGCAGTACCGCTGGTTCGTGCTCGACTACAACGCCGGGCTCCTCTCCTACTACACGGTGCGAGGGGCAGCGCGGGCCGCGCCGGGCGAGGCGGGCGGCAGGGGCGCAGGGTGGGGGCGGCGAGGGGACGCGGGGCGGTGTGAGCCCCGCGGCGGCCAATGGCGAAGGAGGAGGCGGCGGGAGCAGCCAATGGGCGGCGGCGCTGCGGGATTGATGGGTGGGGGCGAGCGCCGCTGTTATTGTTGGCGGCCGGGGCGGGGGAGGGGGCGCGGGGCGGGGTCGTTGGGCGGTAACGGCCGTTACGGCCGTTTCCTCAGGGAAACGCTGCGCCGTGTCCTCGCATTCCGGCGACCTTCGCCTCCTCCGGCTCAGTGGGACCCTGGGCGGGCCGGGCGGCTGGTTTCCTCCCTTCCTCCCAGGGGGGCTCCCTGCAGGCAGCTCTGCGGCCCGAGCCCGCTGCCTGAGCCGCAGACTGCTTCCCAGTGGGAGGTTAGCGCTGCTCCCCTCCCTAGTTTTCCAGCGTGGACTTTGGAAGTGCCTGGGGCTGACAGGGTGCCTTGACATGCTGCTGGTGGATACTGCTTTGCTAGCTTGTTTCGATTTGTGTATGAAATAAGCATTAAATTACAAATATTTTTAGCAGTACAGCTTCTTTTCACTTTCCCAAGGATGCGCCCTAAAGTTAGAAGGCTAACTGGCAGAACTGCATGTGCTCACAGATAAGTTGGAACAGAGCAGTTGCTCTCATTGCACTGGATAAAACACTAGCAAATGAAGTTTGTGGTGAATAGCGTAGCTTGGGGTGCTGTGGGGTGATGTTCATGACTTCTGAGTTGAGAACAGAATGTATTGTATGCATACAGAAGCAATATCTGTAAAACATATTTGTCTCCTAAATCTCTATTTCCAGCTCACCTGGTAAAGAGTTTTTGACCTCCAGCCCTAAAAGTTTGTAAGACTCACTCTGCATAAACATGTTATGGACTCTAGACCAAATGTTGTTAATGCACACTTAAAATCCTTGCTTTATCTCCACTGAAATATTAATAAGGAATAAAAAGTGCTTTTATAGTTCCTTTTTTTAATGGCTGTTCAAATGTCAGCTGTTTGACTGAGATGAATTAGTCAGTGTAATGTAAGGAAAGGTCCAAGGTGCAAAGACATGATTTGCTCAGTTACAGAATTAGAAGTCTGTGCTAGTGTTTACTGCATGTGCATGCAATAAACACGTATCGTTGCAGTGATTTTCATTCAGTGATCTTCATCGCTCTGATCTATGTCAGTTGTTAATTTTCATTCTTTCCTGTGATTATGTATGTCCACATATGCTTCACACATTTATCCTATATAATTTATTATGTTATATATCATGCAAACTTATAGTTCATGATATTGAAACATCTTTTTTAACAAAGTGTCCTAGCAATTCAACTTCAGATCAAGAAATCAAATTGTCTCCCCTAGCTTGTCTGCCTTTAACCCAACAAAGTCCTACAGTTAACATTTAATTTCACATACTTTCTATGTGCTTTTTCTTTTCTGCACGTGCTTCTGTCAAGTACTTGTTATGCCAGTTGCACTCATTTTTGTAGGTAAGGGTGTGTGTTGTGTTGAAGCTATTCCAAGCCCAGCTACCGAAAGGACTGGTCCTGCTGCTTGCACGCTTCTTTCTGCGTTGCTGGCGTAGCTGCTTGTAGGGGTGTATGGTCAGCTGGATCGTGGGTACGAGGGAGAATTCAGATCACAGCCTCAGTAATAGCAGTACTGGGAAGGTAGTAGGGCACTCTTTCTTTTAGCTGTATCTTTAGAGCAATAATTCCTGAACTGTAGTTAAAAATGTGGTAAATAAATAACTTTAATATGGAATTTTAGCAGGCTTGGGAGCATTATATCTGCAGGGAAATGGCCTCTTACAGCCTTCTTCTATGATTTGGTATATACTTGTATTTTTGTATAAAGCCTTATCTATGTGATTGGGTATAGGTAGTCATGAACTCCATGCCCTCTGAGCCAGTTTCAGTCTGAAGCAATGAGTTAACGGTAAGGCTCTGCTCGTGTATCCATATGGTTTGAGCCCGAAACTGGCTCATCTCCAGGAGTGTTATGCATGGGTGGGGTAGAGCGAGGTTCTCGGCAGTTGCATTGGTACGCAGTCTGGAAACAGCTTTACTGATGGGAGGTTGTTTCATTCATCTGCTATTTAACTGTTTATCACCTCTTGCAGACTCCCTGACCTGTTTCAAACCAAAAGGATCTTCATGCTGGAAACACTTTTTCAGGTCCAATGTCATTAAGTTTTGCCAAAGGGTTTTGTGAAAATGGTAGGGGAGTAACTTTTCACGCAGCTGAACTTTCCATCAGAATTAGATCCAGAAAAATACATTTGTTCATAGGTGTGTCCCTGTGCCATTCTGTTTAGTCTTTTTAAGAAGTAGCTTAAAACAGACTTCACAAAAGTACCCTTGATATAGAATAAACAATCAGAGTTAGTGCAGAATAGTATTGAACTTGTAGGAAGAAAGCTCCCTAATTAGTGTGCTTTGTTGTTTGGTAAACTGACTAAATGTTAACCTGAATGTGTAGTGAATATGAGCATCAGAAGCAAATGAATTAAAATAAGTTTGCTTTTATGACATGATAACAGCTTTCAAGAAGCAAAGCAAAAGATATTGAGTCAAAGAAAAAATTAGAATGTAATATTAACTTATTTATGTTTTAATTTGTGTGTTTTTCCTCCGTACTTCGTTGGAGTGCAGTGAGTGCTGGTACTATTAGTTGGCAATATGAATGCAAATGTTTTGGACATGTGCTTCCAAATAGTTTTGCAACAGTTGTTTTTACATTACAAACATTTGCTTTTTGTTACTTTCTTATACAGTTTATGCCTGTGAGGTTTACATTTTGAAAGAGGAAAAAAATCTTCAAATCTACTTATAATTACCTTTATTTAAATTTACTTATGAATATATTCCAGAGAGTAAAATCCAGACTAATAGTTCAAACATTGTCTTGCCTGTTTTTCTTAGAGTAAATGATTGTCTGGTAGCAGCAAATGGTATCATTTGCATGCAGATCCATTGATACTCTCTTCTATCTCTCATTATCTGAGTTTTAAGATCTGAATTCAGTTCTGTTTAGAGTTTAGATGTTTTTATAGATGATGTCAATTGTATTCTGGCAGCAGTGCTGGCTTAAATATGCATCAGCTGTAGCCTTGATTACCCTTGAGAATCATGTACAAATAATCCAGAGAAACCCCCCACCCTAGGCTGAAAAATATCCTTAAAAATATTGTTTTAGATGTGCTTTTACAATAAGTGTTTTAATTGTATAATAGATTGAGAGCTGAACTGGCATAGCTGTTCTAAAACAAGGGTCAGTAAATAGGAAGGTCAGTCTGCAATTCAGTTTCCTCTTTCAAATTCTATAAAATAACTTCCATAAAATATTTAACACCTTTGTGCATTTTTTGATGTCTGATGATATCAAAAGGACTGATGATGATGATGATGACTTTTGATGATATCAAAAGGCTCATAGTACTGTAAACTTAAACAGCTGCCTGTATTCTGAATAAGGATTGATAGAATATATCAACACTGTGCAGTGTATTCTTGAAAAAACTATTGGTAGCCTGCTATTCTTTTATGGTTTCCTTATCAATATATTTCTAAAGAACAGATTTAAATGCAGGTTAAGAAAAATAATATTCTATTGTTTCTGTTAGTCATCTCATCGAAGTCTCTAAAACATATATGGGTTGAACTCTTTCAAGAGCAAAATCTGTATGAAACTATTTCTGAGGAAGTAGTAGTTGAGGTGCTCTAGAAATAATTATCCCTCATGTTTTTTAAAGATTGCAGCTAATTGGAAGTTTTGATATTGATTGAATTGCATTGAAAGAACTGCTTGTGAAATGTATAATCCAGATTTTGAGAAGTGGAGCTAAAATTTTGTTGTAATTTCATGAATATTTGGAACTGGAAGCAAATCTCTCTAACTTGATTTCAAATGATGCCTCCAAATCTGGAGTCATGGCTCAGTGTCTTAAATCAGAGAGAATTTTAGTTGAATTAATTTTCCTGCTTTCTCAACTAGTTTCTTAAACAGCTATGTGCAAAAGTCCCTAGAATACAGAAAATAAATGTCTGCTGTCGTACAAACATTCCCTTTGAGGGCTCTGCTTTCTGTTCTCAGCTAATACAACTCCTCCCTTGGCTGGTAAAACTGCACATGAACTGAAAACAGGTCAGTGAGCCTAATAAAAACAGACTAAACTACAAGCAAACTTGATATAAAAATAAAAAAAAAAGATAATACATTACTATTACCATCAGTACACATCAACTGTGTATTAAAATTTTGTATATGTAAAAAGAAAAATGTGACTTTTTAAATAGCCATTCCTACATGTCTTCCTGTTATATGTGATTTTCTGTAGTGTGGTAGAACCACTCCTTAAAGTGATTGCAGAATGGCAATATTTGTACAAGTATCTTATTTTCGGGACAGAGGGAATGACAAACTAAAATGTCGTCCGAGTTGCATTATCAAGCCACCTCCTGCAGCCATGTGTAGAAGCTCTGTTCTGTCCTGATGCCTCCGATGGTGACGGTCCCTGGAGTCTCTAGTGCGCGGGGAGCCTGGCCCCTGCAGCGCTGGGTGACCTGTTCCACTTAGATGGAAGAAACAGACTTAACAGCCTCATTATAATGGGTATGAAGCAATTAAAGCTCCATGTGAAAGCTGAGAACCTGTTCTGTGTCTTGAAGGCAGCTTTACCAGAATAGACATGCGTTTGCCAAGTTACTCTTTGGAAAGAACATTAAGGATTGTAACGTTTAAACTTATTTTCCATGCCATTAAAGGGGGGAAAAAAACCCTTAAGGCTTTTACAGTCTCTTTCCCAGTGGAGATGACAGTTAATCTGTGTAATTTGAATCAGTGCACTTCTGCCCAACTTGCAGAAAGTTACTTTCCTGTCAAGATTGTGTCTGTATTTCTTTCTGAAACCACCAGAGGGAGGAGTAAGCTCTTAGTAGAGCTCTCCCATTTTAGGGTCTAGATCTCCTTAGATCAGTAACAATGATTCGCTTGGATATTTGGATGGTAAGAAAGAAGGGGTTATATTAGAGTGGGACTATCCTTGGAGTGATCAATTTTGATCAATTTTCTCATTAAAAAAAAAAAAAAAGAGGGGTAGGGAAGTTAATTGAAAACCAGAAGATATTTTCTTCTGGTTTCAGAAAACTAAGTATTTAGAGTTTCCCAAACATTTTCTTTTTTCCTTTTCTTAAAGGATTTGTGGGTGCATGCTACATGGCTCACCAGGATTGCCACTTAATTCTTGTGACACTGGCAGGAAGATAGTTGCAAAATCTACCCATGCCAGTGCTGGGCACAGCTGAAAGTTTAAGATGCAGCAAGTTCACGCTAGCAGTAAATTGGCTGTTTAGACCTGCCCTGGTCTGGCCTGTCTTGTTTTAGAGTTCCCTTGTCATTGCTTCAAATACAGATACTAAAGAAGAGATTCAGGAGTTCAGCAGCAGGCTACAGGATAAAGCACAAGAAGAAATGGGTCTCCTCTGTTTTCTGATTTGGGATCTTATAATTTATCTAACACAACCATAAGCTTTCTGTGGCTACGGTGATAACTTTTCCGACTCTTGCAATAAAAGCAGGCTGTACTACCTCATGAGTAGATGTGAAAACGTATCTGAACAAGAGATTTGTATCTGAATGGAATGAGGGCTGAGTCTGGGAAACTTTCTGCTAGAGATACATTTTTATTTCTACAATTGTTGCTAGCCAGCTGGATTTCGTTATATGGCCACTTTTGCGAGAGCGGGAGAGAAAGGAAGAAGATGTAATATCAGTATTTTACCAGCTTTTTTTATTCCCTAGTGAGTGCCTTTTTTCTTCACCTCATCTTGCTTTCATAAAGGTGCAGATCAAATCTTCCATTTTTTCAAGATATCTACAAAACCTCCTGAAATGTGATACTGTATTCCAGTTTTCTAAAGGACTACTTTTTCATACTGTAGTGGTGGTATTTTCTCCTTTATGTCAGAGCGCTGTTGTAATGCTATCAGTTTCATTTTATCAGCCAATAAAATATTATACCAAATTGCTTTATGCTTTTCTCAGTTGTTTTAAATAACTTTCTCTTGCAATTCTGATTAAATTTGTTAATCTGGATTTCTTTTTCTTGTTTCAGTCAAAAGATAAAATGATGAGAGGATCACGCCGAGGATGTGTCAGGCTCAGAGTAAGTGTTGTTTTCTTTGGTGCATAATGACTTACTATGGATATGTGGAGAAAGCTATATGACAAAGATGGATTAGTAATGACATATGCTAGGAAAAAGTTGTGATTTGCAGTTCTCATTTCTTTTTGTGTGTGTACATATGTATATATGTTTATGTTTTCTGTCTACAGAAGGTTTAGGAAAACTTCAGCCCTTCTGATCTCTCTTTGCTCTCTTCCCATGTTTGCCATTTGGTCATCTGAAACATTCTGTTGTGCTGCCACTTGACTACGTTTCATTCAGCATATTGCAGTGCTGAGCACTAATGTCAGGCAGCAAGTGGTCAGGCTTGAGCAAGGAAAACAAAGGAAGACTGGAAAGGGCAGGTTGAACCCAGCAGGCAACTGTTGGGAAATCTCAGAGAGGAAGGGACACAAACTGGGGAGATAGAGCTGAGGAGATGCAGACTAGAAAGCTGTTAACTGAGGTCCTTTTGCTCAGGACTTTGAACCTTGAATACTGCTATTGTACCTTAGGCGGCAGTATGGAGTTGATGGTGACATCTTTATATGTGTCCAGTTTGTACCTCCAGGCATGCACTTAGCAGGAAATTTTCTAGTGTCAGTCCTTTTCCTGTGTTTATTCGCATTCCTCATAGACTGTCTGGTTCAGTATGAAGCTGGCTGATGTTGCTAGGAGGAGAGTCGGAGGATAAGAGGTGGGAATGGGAACTGTTTGGAATACTGAAGGAAGAGGAGCACAGGGAAGGGGCTCTGTTTTCTGACACACTGTCTCATATATGCTGCAGCAGAGCTTTGCCTCACTTTCCTCCCATTTCTTCCTTCTTTGTGTTGTTGCTCCTTTCTTGTCTTTCTGTTGACCTTATAATGGAGTGCTAGTAATCTTCTGAGAGTCCCCATTCATGTGGATTTCTGGTATCTTCCTGGACTTTTCTTTCTGCTTTTTAATCTATTGTTGTTTTAATTTATAATCTCTTTAAAGGTAATATGAACTCAAACTACTATCTACAAAACTATATTCCTGCAGATTCATAAGGATATTTTAAGAATATGTTATGTGAAAAAATTGAGTCTGAAAAAACATGTCTACTTTAATAGTATTGCGAACCTGTCAGTGTGGAGGTTGGTCTTAGCCTGTCAGTTTAACAAATATTGAAAGTGAACAATCTGTTCAGAATTACATGATCTGTTTTTTATTAATTTAAGGAAAAAGCAGCACCTTTCTCTTCCCCCATCTGTCACTCTCCCACCCCAGATTGCTTTTTGGAGTTTCCCTAAGATATGTTGATTTCTTTCTCGGAATGTTTGTGATGTTTGTGTAAGTTTTTTTTTTTTTTTTTGAGGGAGGAAGTGTTCTTTTTCCTACTGTTGTTGTAAAGCAGTTCTTTTGGCGGATGACAGTGATAGCAAGAGCTGAACAGATGGACTTCTGCAGTTTGAAATTTTATCAAAGAGGTTTCCTGTTTGGTTTAATTGTTCATTTGTAACTGTAGGTGTGAACATAAACAAACATGTAATTCAAACCGTTTGCATAAAAATACTTCCCTTTGCCTTTAATGGATTTTAATGCATTTTTGTTTCTCATCTTCTTTCATTTGGGAGCACTGACCCAAGACATCTTCGTCTTGTGTCCTGTCATGGTGTGTTTAGGAAGGTGTGTTCAGAGAGGAATGAATCTATGTGGTCCGCACTGTGCTTAGGTCCTAACCAAGCTTTCAGGAATATATACTTTAACTTTCACATATTAGTTTGTCTTTTTCTTATTGATACGTGTTTTCCAGATGAAAACAGAAGCATCTTCTATGCTTCTGCTCAGACCCTTTGTCTTAGCTGTACTTTCTGCATCTGTGTACTGAGATCAGAGAATGCTGATGATTCGCCTTAGTTTTCTCCTTCCTTTTTGTGTGGAGACAGGACTTAGTTACCCTAATCCTACCTTTTTTAGCCTTTTAGTAGTTTTTTCTATGTTTTCTTTCTAATTTGACTATTTATATGTATTTTAGTGATTCCCTAGTTTTATTTTTCTTGGTGTTTCCTTACCAGCTAGAAGAAAGCCTTAAGTTGTAGTCTTTTATTTTTTGCTTCAGTTACACTAATTTCAATTCCTACCCCTCTGCTCACCTTTCTCTCACAATGCCACCAGCATATTTTTAGCTTAAAGAAACTCAGCAAACATGCAGTAAGACATCAATTCCTGCAAAACTCCTGAAGAAGTAAATGTGTTCAGGAGTTCTGAGAAGTCTTCTGAGTGAAGAACGAGGATCACCAGGGCCTTGAATCAAGAATATATTGTTGATAAGTGAATTTCTGACCTGTCTTGCTAGTAAACAGAGGAACCTAAGGATTAAAGTTTCAGCATCCAAAAGCACTATGGTTTGGTTACTCTGAGGAAAGTATCTTTGTCATGTTCTTGGTGTCTGACTTTGAGATTTTTGATGTAGCTGATCATGAGGAGCTAGATTGTGACTTTTTACAGCTGGTAATGATATTTTCATTTATTGCATACCAAAATATGCACTTACAAGAGTTCTAGATTTATTTTACCTCCAGATATGAAATAATTGCTCTACCAAAATATAATTGGCCCAGTAAAGCCTGTCACAGGCACCCTGTGCCGTTACCAGACAGCTGTTGTGCGTCCAAGTGTGGTGGCTGGTCGTGTGCTGGTGGGTATGTCCTGGCCCTAGAGCTGTCCTAGAAAGACCTGTTTGGAAAACAGGCCTTCGGAGGAGTTAAGTGATACCTTCTTGACAGTGGGAGAGGAAAAATAGTTTGGAACTACCCCTTCCTGCTGCATAGGTGTTGCTCTTAAATAGGACCTGTCACTGTGTAGCTGTCATTCCCATCTTGTTTGCCTGTTGTAGGCTCAGGCCTACGTAAGCTGGACCCATCCGTGAGGAACGTCATATAGGGGCCATAAAGTTTTTATGTGAGCAAGATTGATTCAGGTCCCCTTGCTCCTAAATCTGTATCCAAGATATTCTCAGGTTTGGGCTGGTCTGGTTGTTCATCCAACCCACCGTGCTGTTAATTGCTGTGTGATACTTGACCAAATGAAATGAAACACTCATTGGAATTGACTCATAGGGACACTTACTAATTGCTATTCTCTCAGACTGTAAGAACAGAATTTACCCTTTCAATATGTGTACTTCCCAGTGATGTCTTTCTGCTTAGTGGGAAAGGGAAGGACAGAAAAAAATACTGCTATGCCTGATACAGAAGAAGAGAAACTGAGTAAATCTGTGATATTTGAAGCATTTTGAACTAATGTTGCGATTTCTTGCAAGTCCATACAGGTTCTTTTCAATTTCCTCTTCCCTCAAGCGAAACTTGATCATTTGTTAAATGTTTTGGTGGGGGAGGGAAGGAAGATATGGATAGGTATGTAAACAACTGAGATGAACTTCAGTCTGTCATTCAGTTGTATTTCATACTAATAATTCATCAGCAATTAGAAAACAGCTGTTTTTGATATACTATGTTGACTCACTGCTGGTATTTATTTAGGGACTGAAAAATAGATCATTTAATAGGTTGAGAACTTCTTCATGTAGAATTTCTATATATATTAGTATTTTTATATGTGAAAAGTATTTGTAATGTATTGGTCCCTATTCTTCTTTTAAATATAAGTTGGAATATAGTAGAGAATAAATAGACTTTAATGATGCTTAGTACAGAATAGTATATTGCTGTTTACTTTAACGATGCTGTAGTATAGAGCTACAACCATTCCCAAAGTAGAAGATGCATATCATTATCCAGAAAATCCCAAAGTCATACAAATAATCACTGCTTTTATCTGCAACTAAGGATTTAGCCTTTTTAAAAAAAAAAGCAGACTTACATTCCATGCCCAAACAGAGAATCCCTCTGCTCGTTATGGTGTGCAGTTAGCGTCTAATTCTCCCTGCTTTTTGCATTCCAGGGGTGTAGTGCTAGAGTGCTGGCTGCTGATGTCACTGCTTGCCTTATCAGGATTTTGTTCTTTGTTTCACAGGGAGCTGTGATTGGTATAGACGACGAGGACGACAGCACCTTCACAATAACTGTTGATCAGAAAACCTTCCATTTTCAGGGTGAGCTGAAAGGAGAGATTCTTTTTTTTTTTTTTTTCTTCTTATAATAGAAACTGCTTCTTGTATTTGATAGATGATTTTAAATGTTTGGCAACAGAGCAGCATGAATGAGCGTAATGAGAACATTCTGGATCCAGGGGTGCTGCAGGTTAGGCAGGGATTTACATCTGCAGTGGATACATATGTGATAGAAAGAGACTGTAGCTCTGGCAGGATTTAAAATGTAAAAAATAAATCAGTTCAAGGCAGAAAGTAATGGGCTTCTGATTATGGGTTATGCTTACAAAGCATTTCTGATCTTCGTTATCAAGATACAATTATGCGCATCTGTGTGAAGAGAATCAAGACTGGTCAGAAGGTTGCAGTTTGTTTTTAAATAGAACTTAATACTCCATTGTGAGGAGACTAGAGGAAACATTTGGCTTAAAGGTGGAGCTTTGCTTCGAGAATTACAAGCTTGCATTCTTTTCATCTACATTTCTGTGTCTTGTCTGCCAGTCATTTCTCTGCTATTATCCTTTTATTCACATTTACTAACACCAATGCCATCTGCCACTGCTATGTTCCGTCATTGCATGCTATGGTTCACCGGTAGAAAGGGTAAGGTACTATATTGTTGTTATGCATTCCTTAAATTATTTTATCTGCAGCAGTAGGTCAAAATATTGTGAAAATATTGGCTAAAGAACTTATTTTCTAATGTTAAAATCCTAAGGGAGTTTGATAAGATGACTTTCAGCTAATGTTTGTTTGTCTTTTTGTTTTTTCTCTAAAATGTAGTAACTAAAGCATGTAATTATTTTGCATAGAGATTGAAAATGTAAATATCAGAGGCACATTTGCATATGAGAAATATTATTAGTTTATATAAGCTGGAACAATTCTGTAACCTATGTTGTATAGTATATATTTGCAAATCAGTGATTTGCAAATGGGCTTTACATAAATAACTAGTATGTTTTTGTGAGTATTTTAATGGCAAATATTAATTTGCCAACCAATACTGGGTTGTCTTTGGAGTATATATTCCTTGTGCTACAAGGAATAGTAGCCTTCCTAAATGTTGCTGCTGTAGTCTGTTTTTTCACTGTATTAAGTCTCATAAACATACCTTCATAATGCCGAGCTGACATCAATACTTAAATCCACCGTTTTCAAGGATAACTGATAAAATGCAAGCTAATTGCTAATGCAGGTAATGGAATGCCATACCCTGGCAGTCTTTCAGTAATATGAAGCTAAACACTGCTTAATATTTGAGAACTTAATACCCACAAATCTAGAAATCTCTCATCTGTAATTACTAAAAAGCCCCCTTTTTTAAGTATGTCTCTTTATTTGTACTCATTCTTGATAAGCTATATTATCCTTAGGGCAGATGCCATAAAGAAGAATGACAGTATTTGATTAATGTTCTGCACTAAATAATGCCTTTTTTGAACACCAGCTTTGTCACATAATATATGATAGTTTATAAGTCTTTATTTGCATGCATTTCATATTAGGTCAGGATATGTGTATGATTCTGTAGTTTTGAGCTTAGATCATCCACACTGTTTTCTGTATTATGCTTTTACTGTTAGCATATTTTGCTGGAAATCATGTATTTTATCTTCAAAGTGGAGTGGTATAAGCACAGTATATATGAGACTGTAAACTGAAAATGTAAAAAGGCAGTTAAAATACTGGTGTTGGAATATTTCAGTATAAAACAAACAGCTCTGTGAAGCCATGTCTGTAGTTCTTAAAACCACTGTAAATGTGTTATATGCCCCCTGCAACCCTTGTGACATATTTATAAAATGCTTGTTCGTGGTATTAATTTCATTCGATATTATACAGTGTTATAAATCTATGTGAATTGTAGGTAAATGTCAGTCATGAATGGTTAAGGGATAATTATGTAAATATAACAATATGTATTCTCAGACTATGTAGAACACTGTAAGTGTTTTGAGAATATGTACAGATAGTATATATATAGTATTTCTAACATTATCCCCCTTTTTTTAAAAATAAGTTATGCAGATAGAGCTTCTGTACTGTGAGATATTCATAGCTATGAATATATTTACCTTTTATGAAAGAAGAGCCTTCTGAGGAAGGCTGCTTCAAAAATCGCTTTTTTTTTAAGACACAGTCTCTTTCTTCCCTGACACCACCTTTTTTTCCATTTGCAAGGACATCCAGAGGTCCAGGCAATGTGGAGTCTAGTTGGGAAAGGGAAAATGGAAAGGTAGAAAAATATGTGAGCTCAATAAATGTGAAATGGTAAAACTTAGTATTTCAAAATCTGCTAAGTGGTGGGTAAGTCAGGATCCCATCTGCAGTGGGACAGTTTCTCTTTCAGGCTCCAAAAGAATTCATTTTCCTATACCTAGGCTGTCAATACTGTTGGTAAAGACTTGAATCTCTTTTGACCTTGGTGACATTTTGAGACAGGCAATAGACAGTGATAGAATGTGAATTTGGGAGAAGAAGGAAAAACTTTGTACTGGATGAATTAATTATTTTGTGAAGCTGCTTGCTCAAAACTGCATTCTGTCTTTCACTGAAGAATAAGTGATGAGATGAAGGCAGATAAGGCATATAAAGATGTTTGATAAACTTCTCCCAGGGATATTGCTTATATGTAACTGTGCTTGTGTTTGTGTAAATGAGTTGAAGTGTTAAGACTCCAGCAGCTCCCACAAAAATTTGCCTGTCACGAGATCTTGGGAAATTCTTGATTTTTCTTACAACGTGTAGCTCATATGTGTTGCTGCCTTTGACAGTCCTCTGATGTGTTTGCCACTGTGATTCCTAGTGGCCATGTTTGTGCTGAACAATATTAGAAGTGAAAAAGTTATAATTACAAAGAATATGCAGGCACTGAGGAATGACTGCATAAATATCCACTGGTACCATATACTTAATATCTTGCTATAAAGGAGAAAAAGTGATTTGAATAAATATTCATTTATATTTAGTGTGTTTTGATTTTATTGTGAGCTTAGCTTTGGTTCTATCAGGGTGCCCAGCAGATCTGTTCCTTTTTATTTTATTATTACCTTCTGCTGTATTGATACCTATTCACCCTGGATGGAGGAAGAGAGGGGCAGAAAGTCCTCAACAGTTTCAAAATATATTTCAAGTAATGTATTAATCTCTTCACTCGCTCTTTTTGGTCATATAGTGTAGCCAGTTTTATGATTTGATCCAAAGACTTCTGAACTGAGGACTCAAAGTAATCTCATGGCTTTGTTCAGGCTATATATGCAAAAATCCATTTAATTGCTTGAAAATGTTTGGAGTAATCTGCTTCAGTCTAAACAGGACTTTCCTATTGGGAGGCTCTTGATAATGTATTTCTTTCTTGCAGTAATACATGTCCCAGATACAAATGTTCATATCCTTCAAACACTGGAATTTTTTATTGGTTTTCAAACATTTTTGTATCATGCTCTTGTTATAAGCTCTTTCCACTGGAAGGTCAGTTCTGTTCTCTGTATCATTTACCTCTTCTTTTTTTCTGTTCTCTGGGTTGCTGGTGACAAATTCAACATAGGAACATAATGTTCAAGATAGTCTAGCAAGGGTATTGTTGCCTTCTTTGTATCTGAGCTGGTGTCTAACCTGAAAAAATGCATATTTTTTTCACTGATAATACTTTTCTAATGCATTGTATTTGGGAATACAGATTTATTTTATAACTCCTACCTGAAAAAATCTGTTTTTTCAGATCCACAACTATTCTTACAGCAAGCAGCAGAGCTCTTTGGAAGTCAAGTCAGTCTCGTCTGCACTGTTCTGTGTAACAAAGGATTGAAAGATTGGAGGTGGTCCAGGGCATTGATCTGAGATGATCTTACTTTAGCATTTGTCTTTCCTTTCCCATTCCTGCCACAAAACTCTCTGAGAGATGAAGCATGAATGCTGCTGTGAAATGTGCCCTGTTAGGTGATTGCTGTCAGCCAGTAAAGGTAGATCACTCTTGTCTCCCACCCCAGCCTGCCCGAGTTTCTAGCTTCATTAGTGACTGCCAACCATCCCAACTGAGAAAAGAGGAAGATTTGCACAGCCGGGGCTTACCTTAATGTGTATGAGCAGGGAATTTGTGTGTTGGGGAGTGGGAATGGTTGTCCTGAGACAAGAACTTTTAACAAGGCCTTTTTACAGGGCCTGCCTGCATTCCTGAGGAGGCTGTTTGGAGGCATGAGACACATTTTGGCCAACCAGTTTGAGTTATCACTGGGCTAGAAAGAGTCATCGAACCTAAACCGACAACCAGTGTTGAGGTAGGATAAGGCAGAACTGAAAGCTGTGAATTGGGAGGAGGTTATGTGAATTGTTTTAGAATATGAATAAGAAAATGCTATTTATTAATCCCTTATAAGGTGGAGTTCTGAAATGTAAAAGTTGAATCTCTGAAAACAGAAAGGATGGCCTGAAGAAAACTGAACCTGAAATGAGCTCTAGCAGGTGTATTTTTACTTTTAAAGTATACAGGGAAGGAAAGACTTGCATGTAGTTTCTTTTGTCATTTCTATTCTGAATGCAGTTTTAGAAGCGAGAATGCTTTCTGTGGTCTGGATGAAATGAGGCTCTTAATTTGAAGGTTAAGTGTTTGATCTAGACCCTTAAAGATGTGCCCAATCAGGTGTTTTAGGGAACATGTTACTGCAAATGTCTTCATAAGAAAATACATTTTCAGTACTAAGCTTCAAAACCACAGAAATGTGTGTGCCTGTCTTTTATTTGACAAATTGATGAGATTTTTCAATAACTGCTTTCTGCAATGTCTCCCAAGCCTAGATCCACAAAGGTTGTTATGTAAATGACACCAATACAGCCAAATATTCTGAGCTAAAAAGACAAAATAAACAAGCAAAAAAAATCCAACACAATAATAATTTTGGGAGCAGGAACTACAACCTAAGGCCCTCCTGTGTTACCAATGAGGGCTGAGTGACAAGGTTTGAAACGGGTGCTGCTTCTTGCTTGTAGCACTTGCGAAGTACTGAATTTATTTTCTATCTAATGATGTTTGGAAGAGGATGATGTGGCCACATCTGTTTCCATGACAGTTACTCCAGCTGGGCTTGAATACCTTGGACCAGGCGGGAGTTATCCTGAACTTTCACTTCTTTGGCAATCTAAGTGGCTAGAGAAAAGGTGGGGAAGCAGAGTGGAGGCAGATTCTCTAGTCCTGTTTCTAAACTAAGGGAATGGGCAGCTCTTAAATTATGGTTCTGAATGACAGTGAACTGCAACAAAAGTTGACAAGGAAGATGAAGTACTCAGTAATGTGGCAGGTATCTTATCCTGAACTCAGAAATTGTGCTGAGTAATTAGGTAACAGTGTAACAACAGTTTAGTTGGTTTCACAAGATCATAGATTAACCCTTTTAATATATTTTACACAGGAGACTACTGGCTGTCTTGTGTAAACAAGATTAGAGGAGATCTAAGAGTCTTCACTGGATATGGGAGGGAACAAACTGGTCAATCCACTCACAGAACAAAAGAAAAGTTGATCTGGGGGTGAATAGCAGCAGAAGGAATACTAGCAGAATGAGGAAGAATAAGTGTTACACCCCCAAAATTCTGGTGTAAGTAACATGCTGAGACTGTCTGCAATCTACTGACTGATTTGGGAATCTACTGACTGAATCTGCTAGAAATGTGTGTGTATGCAGTGGAATTATGGCATTGTGGTAAGCGTACAGGAGCCTATGTCTACCTCACCTTGCTTGCCTTTTCTGTTGCTTCAGAGGTTTCCAGTGACTTTAAAAGACCATTTATTTCACCATGGAATGGCCCCTTGACCCTATCTGTGTAGTTTGTGACTTTTCCACCTTATTGGGTGCTATGGATAAAATACTCTGTCCATTGAGATTGGTGGCAAAAATCTTATTGATCTCAGTATAGTCAGAATTTTAGCTCAGTGATCTGATTATTTATCTGTAAAGATAATATACTGGTCTTAATTTGGTTGAAAAAAAATGCAGTAATTTTGAATAAAAAACAGTGGAAGATTTGTCTGAATAAAATGCACAATTGACTCTATTGACTCTTTGGGCGAAATAGATTTTTTTTTTCCTGAGTTCTGCCTGTAAGTAGGTCACAGTGAATGAAAATAAAATGTGCATTTCACTTTGAGGCAGCATGGTGTATTTTTAAATCAGCCAGTGATTTTTGAACTAATTCTTGAGGTTTTTCTTTCATCCTTATGCCCACGTAGACAGACGTGCACACACACAAACACACACAGGCACCACCAAGGCAATTCTGGGGTGCTGTGTTTCTATGTACTGTCTTCCAAGTATTGCTAAGCGTGACCTAGAAATGCTTGCAGTAAGTGCTGTATCATGGAGAGGAGTGCTGAACTTGTTTATATCCAATCCTTAGATGCTATTGAGCTTAGGCCAGGAAAAGTAATCTGTTCCATGCAGTTCTTTAACACTCTGTATACATTGTATAAGTACATATAATCCCTTTTCACAAAGTAAGCAACGCAAAATACTAGATATGTAATAGGAATTCTAAGTTACAAAATTTATTCTATATTTAGGAAATTAATAGAAGTAGAGAATATTTCATGTAGTTCTATTTCATTTGACTTATTATCCTGGAATATAACTTCTTAAAATCCAGGAAATTCACAGCCAGAGCCTCTTTTAGGACTTGTAAAAACATCTCTTCTTTTGAATGATGGAAATCATTCAGTTGTACAGTCACGTACTTTACAAGTGTGCTGCTGGAAACTGGTAATAAATGGAGTTGTGAATGTCTGAAGTACCCCATCATTTTCTCTGTCAAGCCTGAGACATCACAGTAAATTATACAGGTAACTTTATATGGATGTACTATAGACAAAGGAGCCAGCAGATAAGCATAGGGTAATAACTCATAAATTTTATGAACACTCTGCTAAATTAAAAAAAAAAAAACTTAATATAATGATGGTAAAGTTGTCATATTTCAACCAATAATGATTCAAACTTCTTACGTAAAGCAATGAACATATGTAAACATTTCACACAATGTAAAGAGCATAGGACCAGTATCTTTCCAGCAGTGCCCAGTGACAGGAGGAGAGGCAAGGGGCTCAAACTGAAACACAATTCTGTTTTCCTGTGTAATGTTTTACTGTAAGGGTGACTGAACACTGGAACAGGCTGCCCGGGAGGTTGTGGAGTCTCCATCCTTGGAGATATTCCAAAGCTGGATGGGGTTCTGGGCACCCTGCACTACGTGAGCCTGCTTGAGCGGCGGGGCTGGATTGGATGATCTCTGAAGGTCCCATCCAGCTTCAACTGTCCTGTGACTGCTGTATGTAGCTTTTGCAGGTCCTGTGTGTCAATCTCCACTGGCAAATCTTATTGCCAGTGTGTGGCATGGGGCTAGTGAGCAAGGAGTTCTTGTCCTCTAGCCACTGAGAACAGGCTTCAACATCTCCTGATGGCAGGTGAATATTACACAGTGTGCATTACAAGCTTTTGTAGCTGACAAGGTATATAGAGCTGTGTCTTTGGCCACAGTTACCATCTTTAAAATAAAAAATGCCTTGGATATCTAGCTTTCCCTACAGATAAAAGGATAATGATCTCTGACCATTGTGTGTAGATTTTTTTTCCATAAATTGTTTCTGAGTGTGCTGGCTAATCTCTTTCTTGAATGTTTCCATTGATTTTTTTTTCTTTTTTTTTTTCATCAGTGATCTTTTGGCAGCTGTTCAGTTCTAAATTGCTTTTACCATTAGGGAGCTTTTATTTGTACTTAATCTCATGGCAGCCATTTTGATTAGATTTAATATAACTTTTCTCATGGCTTGCTGTAAAATAAACCCTGCATCCTCCTGTCTTCTTCATGGTTTTCCTAAAAGATGACGTGGAGGACGTCCAGGTTTGCTGTTGGTTATAGATGAGCTGAAATTTTTAAACCGGTGTCTTGAACAGAGCGTGCTTAAAAGGCTACGCTATTTCTATGCAGTAAGCAGTGTCCTCGTGGCAGGGACTTAAAGTGACAGGATTGATGTGATTCTTGTCGTCTGTCTCTGGATTGATCATGCTACGCTACGCGTTTGCCATGTCTGCAGCAGGACACAGGGATGTGGCTTTGCTTTTCAAGTATATGAGGAAAAAACAGCTTGCCTTTTTCATTCTGCTGCGTTCTCATAAAACCAGGATAAAACTGGTTTTTGGATGTATAAGAGCTCTGGAAGCTTATGTTATTCATATGTTTGGGAAGGGGAGTTTGCTTTTTCAATCAAACTGTTTGTTTGGTTTCTAGATCTCCCCAATTGCTGTGAGTCATAATCTGTTTGTACATGACTTGATATGCAAGTCTTAATGAGATAACCTCTATTAATGGACTACTATATATTGAGATTAGTATTTAACTAATATAGTGAACTCTGCTGGCAGTATGGAAGGTCACAGAAAGTCTGTTTCAATAAAAAGATTAATCCATTGGTATGCAACCTAATTATTCCTTTTTTAATTTAAATATAATGGGCAAAAACCCTCAGGATTTTGGTATCCAGTTAATTATGACTAGTCAGTGTTGGTAACACAGTTCCCCAGTTATATGTTCCTTGCAAGAGGAAGGTGACTTNAAAAAAAAAAAAAAAAAAAAAAAAAAAAAAAAAAAAAAGCAACCAAAACCCAGAAAACAAACTCCAAAAACCTTAGACACATTGAAATAACTTGTCCATTGTCGCTTCGAACACCCATTTGAAAAGTTTTGAACACTTATACACTTGTGAATTAATTATTTTTTTCTTCCCTTGTACCTTCTTCTGCCAAATGAAATAATTTTCATTGGCTTGGAGATGTGAAGAAGCGATAAATATTTCCTAAAGGAGCATTTATTAAATATATGTAGAAGACTTGAAGTGGGTTTGAGTGGGGATGGATTTGAGCCATAGAATTGCAAAGGGTAAAAGCCATGGAAACTAATGGAGGATAATGAGAGCACTGAACACAAAGCATTTTTGGAGTCTGGATAGTACATTTCAATATAATAACTTACGGATATTTTCTTTGACCTCCATAACAAATAAGTCAGATATGGATCTTAGTTCTCAATTCATAATAGGTGTTAGTCTGCTTAAGGCTTCCTTGATTTTAGCAGATTTCCTGTTTCTTTTAAATACCTCCACTTGGATGGTGAACTAGGAACAATTGTCAATAGCTAAATCTACATGGGCCAGTTTACCTCCACAGTCTGCTTAATGCCTGTAACTTTTTTTTTTCTTCCTTTTGCTTTTTATTCTTCTGTGTTTTTTTTTTTAAACGTCCTTTCAGCACAGCAAGGAGCTCTTTCAAACCAGCAGAATAAAGTGGGGTGAACAATATGTCTGTATTTGGGAGGGGAGGAGGGGGGAATAAAAAGAGTATTGGAAAGAACAGGCCAGTGAATGACCACAGTAGCCCTTAATCTGATTTGGTCTGTTCTACGTTCTCCTTCTCCATCCCCTTTTCCGTATCCCACCAGTTGTGAAAGCAGCCCACTACCCGCTTTGTGACTTAGTGCATTACTTTAACCATCACTGACTGCAACTGAGATGTATAATTATGTTTGCTTGTCATTACTTCCTGACTTGGATCCTTAATGAAAACCATGTAACAAGTTTGTTGCAGAAACATGAAAATATTATTGTAGATGTTGCAGTTAACATATGACTCAGGTTCTGCTGAAAGACAGCTTTAGACTGGAGTTGTGTTAAATTTAACACTTAAATACTTTAGGTTATTCTCCGTGCTTCATTATTCAAAACTGGTGTCTGCACTGAAGTAGAATATTACACATTGAACAGCTTGTGTTTGTTAATAAAATTTAAAAAGAAATTTGTACAGCTCATTTTCCTATGAGAATATGTAAGTTCTCATTTTCTTGAGTTCATGTACTCACTATCGTATATATTATATCCTGATTGGCAGTTGTAAATATAATTGGAATATCTGGGATTTGATGAAATAAGTGAGGAATGTCTATGAAAACTGTCTCCACATTATCATCCATAGTGAGGGACGAGAGTTACATAAACACTCACGTAGCAGGAAGGCAGGAGAACTTTTCTTTGTATTTCTCCAAGCAAGGTTCCAAGGCAGGAGAGCAGGCAAGAAATCACTGCCTCCTGCCTCTGCTCTCCCACCTTTAGGGGGGTTCAGTTCACAACCATCACCGTGGAATTTCTTTTCTGGGGCAAGGAAATAAGCTGAATCAGGTCAGGGAGGATGTGACTTCGAGGCTCAGGCAAAGACTGACTGGCACACTGGACTGTGTGCCCTGGCCAGGCCTCCTACTGAAGGACAAACGTACAGCTATTTAAAATTATCTCAGATTTTAAACAAGTGGTGTTTGTTACTTGGTTGTCAATGGTGAAACTAAAGAAACTGCCTCCTTTTTTTTCCCTCATGTCTAAGTTATTCATTATAAGCGTATCTTGTATGTGTGTGTGTTTTTAATTGACAATGCTTAGGCCAATATTTGCAAAAGGAACTAAGATCTTGATTAAAAATGGATTTTGGAGAGTCTTACATATGCAAAGTCCCACATAAATGCACTGAGATGGTGGTGGTGTGTGAAACCGTATCTAAAATTGTATCTGAATTTTATTATTAAGTAATATCAGAAAAATGACATGACTGGAAAAAAAAGCTATAAACAAGCTTAAATGCTCAAGTAAAGGAATGTTAAATCCTGACTAGAGCAGGAACTGAAAGCATTTATAATTTGGAGTCGTTACTAGAATACAGTTTCTACCAATGCATAAAAGTTCTTTGCTTGTCTGATTATTTAAAACATCTTTTCAATAGTGTAAATTAACAAAATAATATTTAGCTTTAATTGCAAAAAAAAGAAGCAGGATTTTAAGGCAACTGTGGAATTATGTACTCAGTTATAGATATAGTGTAATTTCTGTAGTTAGTGAAGACGTCACATCTGTTTGCTTTCAGTATATATAACTTAAAATATTTTAACACTGTATTTTGAATACTTTTTCAGCTCGAGATGCTGATGAAAGAGAGAAGTGGATTCATGCTTTAGAAGACACTATTCTCCGCCATACTCTTCAGCTTCAGGCAAGTTTTACTTCCCCCCGCTTTTTTTTTTTTTTTTTTTTTTTTTTTTAACCAAGCAGACCTTATATAACATCTAATTGGTCTAAGGCCAATACATCCTGATATAAGGGAGGGATCTTGCCCATCTGCTCCGCTCTGGTGAGGCCGCACCAGGATTATTGGGGACAGTTCTGGGCTCCCCAGTACAAGAGGAATGTGGAGCTTCTAGAGTGCATCCAGACTCTTCTCAGTTGTGGCCAGTGACAGGACACGGGGTAAGGGAGACAAGTTAAAACACACGCAGTTCCATCTCCATATGAGGAGGAACTTCACTGTGAGGGTGCCAGAGCCCTGGCACAGCCTGCCCAGGGAGGTTGTGGAGTCTCCTTCTCTGGAGATCTTCCCAACCCTCCTGGATGCCGCCCTGTGCCACATGCTCTCGATGTCCCTGCTGGAGCAGCAGAGTTGGACGAGATGATCTCTAGAGGTCCCTTCCAACCTCAGTCGTTCTGTGATTCTGTGAAAATAACATAGGTACTGGAGATTGGATTCTAGTCTTTCTGCTGCAGTTCAACTGTCATGTTTCCAGATGGATTTTTGCACATTTTTTTTCTTTGTAAAGTTGAAGTTAAACCTTTTCAAGTCAAGCAGAACAAGACATCTGGAAGACCATTATATATTGGTATACCATCGTATTTATAAACTGAGACAGCAACGTGATATATTTGATGACAAAAATGGTAAAATAGCTTGTGTTTGAATCCATTCCACAAGGTGGTAGTTATCTTTCTTCTGACATTTAGCTAGGCAGAACTCTAACCGGAAGCATTTCCTCGGGATTACTTCTCCCTAAATGGAGGTTTTTGTTTTGGAAACTGCCCCCCCTCGTCCGGCGCCTCCTCCCCGCCGCGGCGGGGCCGGTAACCGCCGTTCCCCGGGGGCGGGGCGGCCGCTCCCGCCAGCCAATCGGCGGCCGCCTTAGTTCGGAGGTGAGCGGCGGGGCCGGTGGGCTCCACCCCTCTCCAGGGCTGCCGGGCCCGGCGCCCGCCCCGCGGCGCCGCCCGCTCCCCGCCCCGCGGCGCCGCGCGGAGGGATGGCCGGGGTGAGTACGGGCCGGGCGGCGGAGGGAGGGAGGCGCCGGCTCCCCCCGCCCCGCGGCCTCCCGACCGGGAAGCCGGGCGCGGAGTCCGGGATGCAGTTCCCGGTGCGGGGCAGCGAGTGTGTGGAGGCGGCAGCGAGGCTCTGTCCCGTCCCCGGCCGGAACCTGGCGCTTTCAGTGCTCTTTTTCCGTTTCCTCGGGACGGGGGTGTGAAACGCATTCCTGGCAGGACCGTTAGCTTGGCGGCTGCGGGACATCGTGTGCCCGCGCGGAGGTTGGTTTCCTGCGGGAGGGCGAGCAGGAGACGTGCGGATTCCTGCCGCGTAAAACCTTTGTGCGGCTGTTTCTGCCCAAAATTATTTCTCATTGGTAAGTTTTGTTTCTGATTTCTGCGTGGTTCTCGAACAGCCTGCCCATCCCAGTGTGGGAGTCGGGACTGAACCCCGGGTGAGTTTTCTCCGTCGTGTCAGTCGGCATCTGCCAGCACTGCGATGCTGAGCCTGTCCGTGCGCGTGCCGCGTAAACCGATTGGGCGCAGGAGAACAAATTAGAGTGGGACTAGGGAGATGAAGCAGTGTCTGGATGTTGTCTGCTCTGATTTAGCCTCACTAATTCTATTTTAGCCTTAATGCTATGGCTGGGTTGGCCCTAGGTTTGTATAATGGAAGTGTTTTGAAACACTTTTTTTTTTTTTTTTCTAAAAAGAAGTAGGAACTTGCAAGAATGACATACAGCCAAGGAACTTAGGAGGAACTGAGTCATAAAGATGCTGGAGTGAATAAGGAGCTCCTAGTTGTTCAGAGGTCTGATAATTATTGCAGTATTACTACTGAGAGTGATGTATTACTACTGAGAGTGATACTGTATTAAAATGAATCAAAAAAGGGGACTTCTTTGGGCATGTCTTTGTAATGTAATTCCGCAAAATTTTGAAGCTGAAGTCTGTTGCTTTACTTGCTACGCTGTTGTATGTTCTTATGCCAGAAGTGTTCCTGAACATGTGCTTGGCTTTCCTGGTGTTAGCTTTGTCTACTGAGCTGTCTTTGAGTAGGAGACAGTTATTAGCATTGGCAGTGCCATTCTGAAGCTCAGCAGTGTTTTCCCCTTAGCCTACAAGCTGTTTTGGTGTTGCCACATTGTTACTGACTTTCCAGAGGCAGACTGTCAGTGACATCTTCCCACTGAAGATGTGCAGGGGAAGGATGTGCATGAGATGATGGTATATTGTGGGTTGGGTTTCATGTGTGCTTGGGCACAGGTAGGAGGGTGATAATTTATCTAAAATTTTCTTTTGTTCCTTACCAGAACCTGTCAAACAATTTCATTCAAGTAGAAAGGGCTTCTAGACTTCTTGTGTGGTTAAATACCCTGTTTTCTTCCTCTTTCCCGCATGCTACATGAACTTAATGGCTCAGGAATCCTCCCATGCCTAAACCCCTTAAAGATAACTCATGTCTTCTATAACCACAGTAACACGTCTCTTCTGTGCTCTTTGAAGTGCAAGAACACTGTTAAGAGTTACCTAATAAAATGCACCAGAAACTGTTCTCTTCTCATGCCTTAAAGAAATTTCTCAATAAGTGAAGTAAATGTAAGCATTGTAAAAGGCTGAATGTCTGCATGTAGACTGGTAGCTTTATCTTTCAAAAAAGATCCTGCTCATAGCAGTCATGCTTCAACCTGAAGTGACAGGCCTGCTTCCTCCTTCCCTTCTAGCCATTAGCTCAAGTTTTCATGCTCATTCTTGCCTTAAATCTCGTATCCTGAAATGTACTTTTCCCCTCCTTCATTCAAGTGCTGCTGCAAGGTCTTGGTGAGTGCTGAAAGTGGCAGCTAAAGAGGTTATAATTTCATAGAAGACAACTACCAACTTGATTTAAAAACAAACAAATATAATTCTGAAAGTGCATATTCTGCAAATAAGAGGGCTTCCTTGCTTCCTGAGCACGTGTGACAGTTGTAATCCACATAAGAGAGTTTCAGAGTACCTGCAGGCTACAAAGTTTGCAAAAGCGAAGTGACAGTGCAGTGAGAATATACAGCTGAATTGGGAATTGGGGTTAGGGGTGACCCAAATTAAAGCTGCTCTCCCTGCTATTCTCCTTTTCCTGGTTTGCTTATTAACCCAGGTTAGTTTCCCTATAGAGCTGACTGTGTGGCAATGCAGATGTTTGTGCTGACACAAAGAGCAAGCAGAGCAAGGGTGAGAACAAACAGGGGAACTGATTTTCTTTCTGGTTTACTTCTGCTGGTGTAAAGTGCTTGTGAATCTGTGCTGCTAGCAGCAGATCACTTAGTGTCATATTAACCAAAATCTTTGATAAGCTTTTTAAACTTGCAAATGAAAATAAAAAGCACAGTCATTTTTTCTTACATAACAACACAGTTCATGTGATGGAATTACTCACTGGCTTTCAGATACTGCTTCAAGTGAGAGTCAAGAATATGTGGATAAAACTAAGGATAGGTTCTTTAAGGTGAGGATTATGTGCAATATAGATGTTTCAAGCTTGTGCAAGGGTATAGTGTTAACTGGCATGTTCCCCTTCTCCGCGTTTTGCAAGTCGCAGTGATAGTGAATGAATAGTGTGTGTGAGATAGCTACATCCTTACTAAATGTTGCAAGTAAAGAGATGGGACTCTGGGATATCCTTATGTTCTTGACTGCTGTGGATTTGACACAGAAGTTATGTTTTGAAGACAGAATTTTACACCTGTTTGTGTAAGTTTTGAACTTTGTTTCTTTTCCCCCTTGATCTGATGGTATCTATAGTTGCACAATGTCTTTGCTAATCATTTTGTCCTTTGCAAAACAGTAATGTTTTTCAAAAAAAAAAAAAAACAGTGCAATAATCTGACTATTTGGAAGGTTTATTTGCTTTCTGTAACTCTTGAAATAAGTTTTAAAAACAAATGTGTAAACTGAGTTTAAAGTTTAAATATAAACTGAGTCTAAATTTAAATATAAAAATCTAGCAGCAAAAAAATAGGCTAATATTTGCCACAAAGAAAAGGCAAGAAGATACTATTGTTTAGTGGTTTGCTTGTAGCTCTTGTCATTTTTTTGGTTGTTTATCAGGGTTCATACATGCAATGTGCTACTGCATAAGAACAAACATGCTCTTCCTTGCTGCCTGTCCCCTCTCCAAAGAAAGGGGATGTGTGTGAAGGGAATGATTTTGCCAGGCTCATGGCTTGAGACTTTGTAGAATCGTAGTGTAGCAGTTTGGAAAGGAGATCTGAATGTCATCTGTTCAAGTCTTTTCTCAACAGAAATCTCCTGTATAATTCTTGCTGTTTTATGTATGAAGCCTTACCTCCAGAAATGTTTTAATGAGCATGCTAGACCTGATCAGATTTAGACTTAATCAGCTAGTGTTTGAAGTTTCTTGGTTGTACAAACCGTCCCATTCTTTAGTTTCTTTTGATGAATTCTTACATTAGGTAGTATTAGTCTCCCTCCATTTGAAAGCAGCACACTTGATGTTGTCTTAAGATTTTGAAGTGAAGAAGTCGTACCTTAATTCACTGTGAATCTAGGTAAAATATTTTGCTAGTGTGAAAGCTATGACACTGTTGTGATGTCTCAGGATTATGTTTTTCTTGTAAAAGACATTTGGTTCTTTGTCCCTTATGTGTCTTCTTATTTATTGAGCTTAACCTGTGGAGTTTTTCAGGCCAGGAGTGCTTTAATAATTATATTAAATTTCAGTGCATGTACCTGCATAATATCAGAAGTAATTGACTTAATGAATTCTAAGTTTTCTCTTTCATGTTTAAAAATGTGGTGATTCAACAGAAGTTGTTCATTTTTTAAAAAACTTTTTTTTCAGTTTAAATGTGGGGAATATACTATATGCAAAGTGTGTGTTGTGAATTTTACATTATAAAGGAAAAGAAATTTGCCAGCGAAGAAAATGTAATCATTCTAATGCCAGTAGTATTTTAGACCTTGTTGGCATATATGCAGCAAAATGTAACAAATCAATTCAAGCAGTGAAAAAGATGCAAATTACTATAGGTTTCAAGTAACTAGGACAATCAAGTAATCTGTTCAAAGTTTTCTACTGGAAAGTGAATTCATCTTTAAGAAGCAGTTTATCGTTAATTTGCCCAGTCCTTCACTAAAGAGATATGAATTGAGCTGTATTTCAGTTGGCAGAGACGCTCTTTGAAGTGTGAAAAGAGCTGTCATACATTTGGGTATCGTTTTATTGCCTTTAATATGAGAATATGGAATCATGAGACACTCTGCAGCAGTATTAACTTCTCTCTCCTGTTTTCCAAAGAAACTCTAATTAATACTATTTAAAATGATCTTTTAAATTATAAATAATCATATCCTTTACATGTGATGATTAAACCCATTGCTGAAAATGTGTAGCAATTTACTGTTACTTATTTAACAGCAAGTAGAAGAGAAATATGCTCAGCTGTGTGCCTGTATTTACACATTGCAAGATGGGAGGCAAAGTAGCATTTATCAGCCAGTTGGCAGGCAAAACTGTATTTTTGTTATCATTTTTTTTCAAAACCTCTAATTATGTATTTGACTTTTTTGCTTTTAGGGCGTGGATTCAGGATTTGTTCCCAGTGTTCATGATTTTGATAAGAAACTTACTGAGGCAGATGCATACTTGCAGATCTTGATAGATCAGCTGAAGGTATGTTAGCAAACTCTGGGTATATTGATTGACTGTGCTCTGAGCTTGCACATAAGTGTGGATTTTGAGGCTTGGCTGAAAGGTTGCTGGACAGACCGAGGAAGTCGTGTTTTACACTCTAAATGGATTTTGGTAAGTGGGGGAGGCAAAGAGAGCTTTTCTATCTGAGCAGAAAATGAACATGAAAAAGCATTCCTTTCACTTGTGACATCTGCTGGTGTCATAATTTTTCCCCCTAGATTAGGATATTACTTCTGAAATAACAAGTTTATCAGTAGAAGTAATAAATGTTATTGGAAGTTTGATGAAAATGCAGTTATTGATTTCTCTTAGAATAGATTGTTAAAATAGAGTTAGAAAATTGGAATAACTGCAAAAAGATTTTAGAATGCTTTGCAATGACAGAAATACTCATATATGTAACTATGAAATTGAGATGAGTTTAATTTTAAAACATAATTAAGTCATTGTCTAGCTCATACTGTTTGAGAATCTATTTTGAGAAAACTTTCTCATGTAACGTGTAATTACAGTTGCACATAGTTGGAGACTTTGTTGCAGCAGTGATAGATAATCTGTTCTTTGTCCTACAATAAAATCATTTTGTAGGAATTCTTCGGTTCTTATGCTGTACATATGTATTTTAAAAGTAGGAGGGGAGATAAGGTATGATAAGGTCATAATATAGCGTCCCTCTTATTGGGAAAAACATTTTTTTTTCTACTGGCTAAGACATTTTTTTTTTCATCCATGATTCAGCAGATTAAAATTACGTTTAGATTGTTCCCATTCTGCTGGTTTGAATTTTTTTTGCTGATATTCCTGTGCAAGTAAGGCATGTGAGATATTCAGCAAAAAAAAAAAAGAAAAAAAACAGTCATTCTGGGGGGAGACAAGCAGAAATGGAGGTGGACAGAAGCTGCAAACAGAATTCAAAGCTAAACTGCAAGGGCTTGATTCAGGAGTTAGCTCTGTCTCATGCTCCCAGGCCATCTAGCAGGAAGAGAATACAAGGGAAACACACTGCACTGAAGGAAGGTGTTTAAATCTGAATGCCTTGTTATTCAGGATGGCTGTGGGGAGGAGGTATAGGACCAAATAACAAGAGAAGAGAGAATTTAAGAATGGACAGAGACTAAGGCTACAGGCTTTTTTTAGAAGCAGAAATCGGCTCTCAAGGGAAAGTTACATAACTAGGTTTTAGATGAGCAGTTGAGTGAAGTACTGTCATTCCACTCCTCAAAAAATGCAGTGTCTTTCCTGAGCGAGGATGGCTGTGATGAACATTCTGAATATTATCTTTAATCGTATTTCTTTTTTGAACAACTTATGCTTGATGATTATTTCTGTCTGCAGATCTCAGTGCTCTCAAAGGTAGCTATATTTGTTTAAGCTCAGCTTATATTAAATAGACAATCTTGTCAGTAAGAATTTGTTTAGTTGCATCTCGTATCCCACTTTCATTAAAATATATATATAGAACCCAGTGTTGTGAAATTACTATTGGTGTTTTCTAAGAAGCACATATAAATCTAACAGCAATTGATATTAACCTGAATGAGAAGGGTTGATAAGGATGGAGGTGCTGTTATGGTAAGCAAACTTAATGCTCTAAAGATCTTTGTGGAAACAAGCAAACAAAGGCAGTTCGAGGTGTTCTGAGGCATATCACTTCTGTTGCCTAACCTTTTTTTTCAAACCCCAGCAAAATCATGCCAGCTCAAATTCTGGGACTTGCCTCAGGAGCTGAGATCCTGTGTCTTGCAGAGTAGGGTAATGTGATAACTCAGTTGCAGAGTTTTTGTACTGCAAATGCTGTGAAGAAATGTTAAGTAATAGCTGCGTTGGTTCAGAATACCAAGATCCATATACCTTCAAAATTATTAAAGGCTTTTGGTTTTGACATTTCAGTGTTTCTGGCTGATGTTATATGGGAAAATAGCATTTTCAGTGTTTTCACAAATACTTTTTCTCTTTTAGCTGTTCGATGAAAAACTTCAGAACTGCAAAGATGATGAACAGAGAAAAGCAAGTATATTTTATGTTAAATATCGCTTATTTTGCTTTATGTGATGGATTTGTTATAGAATACAGAAGTTTTAAATGATCTATTTTTACCTTCAAGTTTTAAGTTCACTTAAAACATCATAAGTAACTGAGAACAGTGTAATTTGTGTAGTAGTAGATGAGCTTAATCTTTTAGCAATACTGAGTGTTTTTGAAACATTAAAAATATTTCAGTTCATATAGTACATCATCTAAAGCATTTTAACTTAAATTTGCTATTTATTTAATCTTTAGTAAAGGTTAATATTTGATGTATTTGTGGGAGTACCAAAGCTATTCTTAAAAAAAACCTCATCATTAGTCCACACTCAGCCTTGTCCTGTGATTACTGTGGAACTGGAATTCTGGAACTCTGATTTATTTCTTTTTTCTTGGGAAACCACAGTTTTGGCCATTCTCAACTACCTGGAGGGCATTACCTTTTTAACTAGACAGTAATTCTTTTTAACTGGTGCCTGTTTAACTGGTGCCTGTTTCTTTTGTATCCCCTCCCATTCCATTTGCAAAACAGGTTTGTGGGTCAAAGTCTAGTCACCGTGTTTAAGAAAGCCTGCCACATAGTTTTGGTGCTGTGGGTTTAGCATAAGCGAACATGCTAATTTTGTGTGTGAATGTGTGGTGGGGAGGAAAGATTTAGCATGTAAGTATAATGTATAAAGTGTTTATTACAGAGTTTCTTTCGTTTCAGTAGATGTAGTAATCTGAATATTTTAAAGTAGTGGTGGGCATTTTTTTCTCTTTTGCTATTGAAAAACAAGCTGTTTTTATTTCAGTGGTTTTTTTTTTCCAGCCTTGAAAACAGTTTGATGGTTTTCTTTGATAAGCTTGCTTCCCTATGCAGTTGTGTATGATGTTTGTGACCTTGCATAGGTTACCCGTTTTGTCTGATGTGTTACGACATCTAAGTGACTTTGCAGTGATGATCTGTCTTTCTGTTGATTTTTTTAATTGTTATTAGTTTTTTATTTGTTGTTGTATATACAGATTTTAAAAATAACTCTGAAGTGCAGGCATTCTCCACTTAAGCATGTTTAATCTCTAGACAGCTGACCTGAAAGAGTAAGACCTTCTGTATTTTTCCTTTCTATGGTTTTTACTGGGGAAAATTGTCCTTGAATTTTGCCTTCTCTCCAGATGCTATTTTGCAGATCAGGCAGGACTTTTTATTTTTTCTCTCCATGTTACAGTGCTTCTGATCTCTAGAGACATCTCGCATATCGTGCCAAGTTAGGGATTGTATGATTTCTTCCTCCATAGCTGCAAGGTATCTGCAGAACAAATGTTATAGGAAAAGTAGGAGGCTGGTATAGAAGAGGGTCAGCTTTTCTGGTTGATGAGTACTGTAATTTACTATAGATTGCATTCTTTATTTAGGAAAAACATTGCAATCATTTCTTTGATCGCATTTACTCTTGGACTAAAATAGAGATTTGATAGCAATTCTAGCAGTTTTCCAGTTTATGTAAATATGCTTCAGTTATCAGGTTGTGTATCTAGCCTGCAGGACACTTCATGGTGAAGCAAGACATGGTTATCTGAACATGATGTGTTTCTCAGAGCTGCATGCTGTTTTCTGCAAACTCTTACGGCCAGGCATTTAAAACCTGCTGTTTTTGTAAGTGTGCAGAGAATTAGACAAACTGTTTTAATTTCAGAATCTTTTGTCTTTTAAAAATAATATTATAGGATATACATGTTCCAAGATACCTCAGGATCTCTTGGATATTTTACTTCTGAGGCATGGAGATTTTTTGAATTTGAAAGAAGACAGTGCAGATACACATTTGATGAATTGTGCAGACTTTGAGGAATACTGCAGTTATCACAGAGCCTCTGTGTTATACTGGTACTCCTGGCAGAACTACAGCTAGCACTGTATAGTAGGAACATATGGATTGCAAACATACTATAACTGTCAGTGCTACCAGTTTTGTGGAAGCTATGCATACATATATGATTATATGAGAAAGAAAGGGAATGGGAGTAATCTAAGGGCACTGGTGTTTCCCAGTGAAGACAAAATTGGACCTTATTTGCTTAGTGTCAGCAGGATTATTGGTGAGAACTCCATTTCCATGTAGTTGAAGAATGAAGACAGCATGGTGTATACACAGCAGCTTAGCTCCATAGAGTCAAGAGGAGGTGCAAGGCTCCTCCCAACATCTCCCCCAAACTTCTATAAGCAAGCTGTTGTTCTTGCTTGTGGCCCTCCCCTTGTTTTTCTCCTCTCAGTGTCAGGTCTGTAGTATGTTTATATAAAAATCTCATGGGGGAGAGTTCATGAACTTTATTTAAAGGCTGCTTCCTTCCCAGCTCTAGAATTACGCATTCCTTATGAAACCCTGGACTTTCATATCAGTGTTTTGCAAACTCTTATGAATAAACTGTACACATTGTGCATAAAATAGATAACCCCTAGAAACAAAGCAAATCTGCCCTTTTCTTTACATTTTGTCCAGTGCATTTTAGTTGGAAGCTTAAACTATTTATTTATTTAGTTTGTTTAGCCATATGAGTCAGGGCTGGTGCTTTTTAGACAGGACCTCTCCGGGTCTGATTTGCCTGTACTGTTTTCTTCATTTTGTATATGTATGAAAAAGGTAAAGTATTGTAATTTTCTGTGTTGCATTCTCTAGCCAAAGAACGCAAATATGTGTGGGGAGAAAATGGTTTAGTGCATACTGTGTATTACTACTTAATTTGGCCTGATCATAATGAATTTTTAAAGTGCCTAAAGAGGAAAGAAATAAATGCACTACTATAATTCCCATATAGGTTTGGTAACCCGTTGACCTCAGATTTTCTTGGACAAATTACCTTTTTGCCTGGGCCTAGCTATCAATTTAAAATCATCTAGCCTAGGTATCAATGAATCTCTTTTTAATTTGCAAATGAGTAGGAGGAGAAACAGTATAATCAAATTACATTATATGTCTTGTCATTGCTTTCCGATTTTCAACAAAGATTTTATCAAAGAAAGGAAGGAGATACTGATCTATTTAATGCGTAATTACATTGTTACATAGTAGAAAAATAAGGGAAAAGGCTCATGCCTGTTTGTAGTTAGCTGTAAAATGAATGATTCTTTTTGGCTGTTCAGTCTTCCAGCTGACAAGATCTGTATGTTTGGGTATGTTGCCTATCCTGTTTTGGTGCTAAAAAGGCTCAGGACTTCACTGAGTATTGTTGTATTTAAAATGTTTTCCTTTTTTTCAATAGTTGTTGATAAAATTTGGTTTTGAAGTATGCTAGAGACATGAAAATAAGAAGAAAGGAGGAGTTAGTAGCTGTTGGCATATATTTTTACTTGCATCAGAAATAAATATGTTTTATTTTATGATGTAGTAACTTCTAGATATTGTTTGCTAGATCGGTCAAATACATCTTATGGAGTAGGGCAGGTGCCACTTGCCAATTAAGTGTAAGTTGAGGAAATTGAAGAAAATATCTATTTTCTGCATGAATAGTAAAACAAGGTTTAACAGAAATATTTTTCCCCAGGCATTAGCTGGAAAGCTGTATCTAGATTTTTATCCACATAAGCTGACACTGTGTGTTCCTGGAGGCTTGCATAAGTGTGACTTTCCGATAGAGCAGAATCCGTGCTCGCAGTGCTGTGTGGGAACAAAAGTTCCTTTGCACATTTTGGCTCTTCAGGAATCCTGAAGACTGTGATTGATGTCCCATGAGACATTCATATTAATCAAAACAGAGAGGTTCTGCAATTGAATTAGTTTTGGCTCAGTGCTGAGTCCAGTTTAATAATTTTGCCCTCAGCAGATAGGTACAAGGACATCAACAGGATGCATATGCTTCTTAAATAGGTCATGCTTATGTGTAAAAAGGCGTGCAGATGCATTTTCCATGCCTAAAGCTGAATATCATGGAGGAAATCTTTATGAACAAGTGTTTCTAGGTAAAATTTTTAATTAGGCAGATTTCCAGGTACACTTTTACTGGTGACTTGGAACAATAAATGTGTGTGCTGTTATTTTACTTCTTTTTTAATTGGACTTCCCAAACTATGGAAACTACTATGCTTGAATGATGGTATTTTCAAATGATATTAGCTAATGAAATGTGCATCATTCAGTATGCAATGTAAGGATACAAATTGCGGTTAGAGTGAATCCTTACACTGAGTTCCATTTTGTTGCTGTTAAGCTATTAATGTTATGCAAAACTAAAGTGTGGACTAAGATGGGTAAATACATCACTACTCAAGACGTCCTAAACTTGTCCTTTTTAAGCGTAATCAGTTTGATTTTGGTCTTGTCCATTACAGAGTAAATCCTCTAAATGTCTCCTTACAAAAATTGTCTTTTGTAGGTTGCTTCCTTTCTTATACCCCTCTCCTAGTTCAAAATTAAACAGTGTTTGTAGTACAGTGTTTAAGTAACACTAGGGACTGGAAATTCTTCCTCTAACCAAATTATTTGGAATTTCTTTGCAGAAAATCGAAAGTCTCAAAGAAACAACCAGTGTAAGTTTCTTTAATTTTTAGATCTGTTATATATGCTTTCTGAAAAATTGCCTCATTCTTTTGAATGTCCTTTAAGGTTTTAATTTTCTTTTAATGTTGGAGCCATAGTGGAAAAAAGCCCTAAGTTTTGCACTAGTTTCAAGGGAAAATGTTTAGTGTTTTGGTCAGATGTCAACTTTATTTTACACTTTTTTGGGGGAATTCAAATTTACTGAATATAAATTTAAATAAAATACATTTTTTTTTCTTGTAACCTTGTTTTTACTCCCAAAATACTTGCGTGGAGCCACTGGTGGCCTGGAAATGTGGTGCAGAAACATATCAGCTGCCTCTCTGTGCAGATAGCTTGTGTCTGATAGCGTGCTTATTTTTTAGTCGAACTTTGAGACACAAGATAATCCTGTGGGATTATTGATAACATAGACCCTAGATAATGCTATAGTTTTATGGGGAAGTTGTAGTGTTGGATATAAACCACCATTGCAGAGGAAAACCTCTAGTTAATATTATTAAATTTCCTCAGATCCCTGCACCAGTATCAGAACTTGTCCTTCCTGTATTTCCTTTCTGCCTACCGTTTACCCACAGATTTGTTCTCTGGTTGCTTTTCTATAGATAAACTTTTTCTTACCTCTTTTAAGGCTCATTCTAGGTCTCTCTCAGCTAATATGTTATTCAATGCTGTTTGGATATGGTTTGCTTTTTAACTCTATCAAAACTTGCTCTTTTCATCATTTTCTCTCCTTGCTTCCCAGTCTTGTCATCCTGAATCCTGACAGGCTGATAGTAATGTTTCCCAGAGCTCTTGTTTCGTATCATGTTTCTCTCTTTTTTGCTTTGCATCCTCAGCGCTTTCATGATGCTCTCTGCTGTTCTGCTTGTACAGTGTCCCGTGATATGTTAAGTATGAGAACTTGCATTGTTGACTCTTGTCAAGAACTTCCACTGCTTTCATTTTACTCAGCTTTATTTGCTTTCCCTCTCCTCTTACTTTCAGCTTTGACAGAGAATTTAAACCAAAGGATATCTTTATAAAACTAAAAAAAGCAGTACTGCACAAATGCAATGGGTATGCTACTTGCTCAGAAGCTACCTGCTTACAGCTACTCTTACTTTCTATTGCTGCACTGTTGTCTTCAGAAAAAAAAAAAAAGGGGGGGGGAGAAAGGAGAGAAGGGAATACCTCTAAATACAAATATAAGATGTTGATTTTGTTTTTATTTTTTGATTTTTCTAGAGTATGGTAGAATCAATAAAACACTGCATTGTGTTGCTACAGATTGCTAAAGTAAGTACACTGTAAACAATTTTGAACTGTAACTATATATCAGTTTTATATATTTATGTATTGGCATTAGTTTTTGTGAAAACTCTTTCTTTTCATCTGCAACTTGAAATGGTAGAATATGCTCTATCACATATGTTCCAGAATACATTTTTTAAAAAGCGTAGGTTAACTTTTACCGGTATTTTAATGATATTTCAGTGCTATAGAATTCCATAGCAGACAATCATGTTCACAGCCCAAATTTCAATTACTGTATGCAGCCTTTTGCCTTTATGTGGCTTTTAATAAGGAAATAGTTCTAAGCATATAGGCTATAGCCAATATAACCTAATTCATTTTGTAATTTATAAAGCTTCTAAAATATGAGGCTAGGTAATTTGTTGTTAGAAGTGGGGGGAAAGAATTCTTACACCAAAACAGCTCATGACTTCCTACAAGTAATAAAGAAAAAAACACATTTGACAGTCATAAAGTTTATACTTAAAGGTTGTACTGTATTTTTCCTGTGTTGCCATTGCAAATGTCTTTTTAAAGTACTAGTGTCCCTGCATTCAGCAGGTCAGCTTGCCACCTGAGAAGAAACTTTAGATATTCACTTTCAGGTTTTGCATAGGCTGTATGTGTATAAGTGCATTTTTCATTAACTCCTTTGGCAGGGGAGGAGGAGGAAAGATCTTTTGTCATACGTTAGCTATATAAATGGTAAAATCAATAACTGCTGCGGCCCATCAAATAGCATCACCACTAGCATTGCTTCCAAAGCCTTTGATTGCTTCTTCACAAGCGGCAGTGATACTCCTGGATCACTAGGTCAGAATTGGTCGTGTTTTGAATCTGCTTTAAAACTTCTCTTTGTTTTTTGATCTTTATATTTGCATTGCAGGGCAATTTTTACTGACCTGAAGTTGCTTAGTTGCTTTTCAGAAAACTAGAAAACTCATGTTTACTTTCTTCTGAAAATGGGGGGGGGGGGGAACTATAGAAAAAACTATAATGTTAATAATCTGAACTGATTTGACCTGGCTTTTAGTAAGTTGCAAGTTCATGTTGATCATGGAGCTTCTTGAAATTAGAATGATGTGTGAAAATGGTTGGGTATAATTGGGTAATGCACTTAGACTCTCACAGTTTTTTTTTTTTTTTTTCTCCCTATGTTATCTTGTTAAAGTTCGTGAGATTTCCTTGTTGGGTTTTTTTTTTCAGCTTCTATTCTGACAGGCTTTTCTATGTGATGTATAGGATATGTTAACTATGTAAACTATAAAGCTATTTATGTGTCAGGAAAGAAATAGGCATAGACAGTGTACTCTGGATTAACTGCTGCTTAACCAATTAAATTCTGCTGCTCGCCTTCCTTTCTACGTGCCCAACGTTTTACAGAATTTTGAGGCCTGTGAAAATTGAAGTACTTAGAACCTAGCAGGATCAGGTTCCTCTGGGTTCAATACTCAGTAAAGTGTCATTAGTTCAGTAAAGTAGTGTCAGTGCCTGATAATTTGCTGTTGTTTGGTGCTGGATATATTTGGGATTGCGTTAGTACCGTGGTACCAGCTGGTTGCATGTCTTTCTGGTGCATTTGGAAGCAGACCAGACCTGTAAGTTGCTTGAGATGGAGCTGTTGCAGAAATAACGTGTAACAAAGGACTGCTTCATATTTGGTTACTTACAACAGCTGGATACATTTATATAGTAATAGTCACGGAGGGTCAGTCCCTGTGAAATCTTGCACATTTTAGCTGTGGTATGCAGCTAAATACAGTAGCAAAGCTGGGAGCAGAATTATAGTCTGCTTTTCAGATTCTTGATCAAAGCGGACTGCAGGCAGCTGAATTGGCTTTCAGGGCCTGTTGGATTCCTTTTCTGTAATATGCCATGAGTGAGTTTAGTGGGGTGAGGGGAAATACTATTTAATCTTATGCTGATAATAAGTTTATCAGTATTTTTAAAGTTGAAAAGTATCTGGTTAACAGTGGGCAAACTGAACTTATAGTGGCCAATTTTTGATCAGGTTCATGGCTCTGCTGCTCCAGGTAACACATAAGCATAAAGGTAGATGTGAGATCTTTTTTGAGACTAATTCAATAAATGGAAGAAGTTGGTTCATATACAACCTCTCCAAATCTTCCTGTGCTTTTAATAACCTCTCTTCTGCCTTGTCTTCCCTTTCTCTCTCTCTTAACCAAATACACTTTTTGACTACATGGTGTTTCTGATTTTCGTTTTTTCCTATCCATGAGCTTTACTCATATCCTGATTTCTTACTGCTGTAAGAAATAAGAGAATAAGTCTGTTAATTGCATATATGTGAAACCTTATATATGTAAAAACTTCTTGAGTCTGACTGGCAGCTTTCTGTTCAGTCTTTCAGTATAGAACTTCCCCTCCACCCCCAAGAAAAAAAAATTATAAAGCAAATATGGCTGCTAAAATAAAACCTTTTTGTCAATACCCCACACCCCTCCCACTTTTACTTCTCCAGGCCTTTCCTATTAGAGGACTTGGTTCATGCTTGTCTGTTGATTGCTTACATACTTTGACAAATGTCGTCACTTTCTGTAAATGTGTTCAGTTTCAAATATGTAGCCATTTATTATTTGAGGTGTTGAGGCAAATCAGTTTCTTATTTTGCACTAAGTTGCACTGCTTTGTGGAATTATAACAGCCTGCCTTGTACTCTTATAAGTAATAGGAATATGAAAATTTTCATAATATTGAAGTAAATATCAACTCAATAGGTATATAATATGGTACAGTGCTTTTGCAAATATATCTTACCAAAAAGTAGTCAAAATAAACCAAGTGCAATAGGTGAAGCATTTGCCTTGTGTAAATGACATTTGGAGTTGCCTGGTTTTGCTGATAATCTGTGCATGTGAAATTGATCTCTGCAGTTTGGCAAAACACTGAGTCTTAGAACACAAATGTAAATTATACATTTAATGAACTCTTATTATTTAGATACTGAACTTTGGATCTTTGCCTTGTGTTTTTCATTCCATTCGTCTCTATTTTGCCTGCCTAGCTATGTGGCATTTCTCTTCTCACACCATCAACATGCTGTGCACCTTGCTGGATCTGCATTGCGGAGACAGGATAGCAATCTTTTTATTTCTTATACACAAGAGATGATAATATAACATGGAATTGTGAGTGGAAAAAATATATTTGGACATAGGTAGCATTTCTGTTTGTCACTCTGTAAACCAGTGGGACTCTGCTCTTAGTGTCCCCATTTTGTCACCGGATACCTTACTTAGGAAATGTCAACTAGCAGGTTTGGGCAGCCTGTTGTAAAGTGTCTAAGCATGTAATATTGAAGCCATTTTAAGTATCAAAACATATGCATGGCCTAACTTCATTTTCAATATTATTTACAGCTTTTTTTTTCTAGATTTATCTTTTTTTTTCTTCATAACTTTGACAACTGGAATTTTGGAGAAATATTCTGCAGATCTCTTACAGATTATACTGAATAAGACCATGGATAGATGTGCTGACTAATATGAAATTCTTGGCAGTAACAGAGTTTTGACTCAGCATATTAATAAAATTTAACACTCTTGCTGGCTCAGTGTTAAAACTGTGCTCACTGTCAATGGACATTAATTTGCCTGTTGCTAGTGTAATTCCCCTGATGACAGTTCTTTCCATGCATTGCCTCTTCTTCACATAAGACTCTAGGCTAAAGCTAGTCTCTTAATAAGATAAGCTTTACTAGATTTTAAAACATTTAATTTAAAAAGGCACTTTTGCCTTTCAAAAGCTGAAAGTGATTTTGAAAACTTGACCTAACCATTCTAAAATTCTAACCTGAAATTCTAACCTAAAATTCTAACCATTGCTCCTAAGAAACGAGGAACTTAATGTGTTTCAGTATTTAGGGACTCACTGATGTTACAGACCAGCTTTTGGGGGACTCCTAGTTATTTGTGTGGACACATCTTCAGAACACACTAATCATCAGATGTGCAGTGGCAATGTATAGGATTGTTTTTATTTTTTGCCGATTCTAGTTGCTATTTCACATGATTAGAAACATTAACATTTTATGGCTGGAAAGGTGAACATTCCTGAGAGAAGCTTAACTCTTATAACTCTCACATAGCACAGAACTGATAAGTCATACAAGATTGATATGTTGATATTTTTAACATTTTTTCCTAAAGGACCAAAATAATGAGGAGAAGCACGCAGATGGACTTATAGTAAGTTTAAATCTAATCTTTGTCTGCCTTTATTTCTGCAGAACATGTGAACAGAGACCTGAATTTCCACTCACTTTGCAACATATTTCCTTCTCTCTCTCTCTAACCTGCTGCTTCAAGTCTCATGTTAAAAATACTGTTGAGCTGTTAGCTACCGAGGTTGGCTGCCACTTTTGCTGTTAGAAAATACAGCGACCAGTTTTATACTGACTGTTTTAAATGGCAGTGTTATGACTGAACACTTAGATAAAAATCTGCCATTTGAAGAACTGAAAGAGGCAATCATTGAGATAGAAATAGTTTTGTGTTCCATCTAAAATTTCTTTATGTATAAAATAGATCTGCTATCCATCTGCTTCAAGTAGTTTGTCTTCTCTACTGTACTTACCTGACACCAAGTTGTATCATCTTCATTTTTAATTACTTCTATCATCCTTTGTTTCAGTTGTATGTGACTTTTGTTTCTTTATTCTGTTTTTGTCACTTGAATAGCTTGCAGATATTTTTGTTAGGAAATTGGTTTCAGTATAACTTAACCCTCTGAGAAATCCAGAGAACCCTCTGAGTTTGTTTTAATTTCATTTGACGGTAATTCCTAAGCTCTGACATTCAGTTTTAGTAGTATGGTATTTCTGGTGTGAACTTTGAATTAAAGAAGGTAAAGTACAAGCTCTGTTTTAATGCTTGTTCTAGATAAATGTGGAGAGTTGCATCACGCAGCTGTTCGAGTTGGGGAACATGTTCTGTTGCCTGCCCTGGAAGGGAGGTTGTGCAGCCACCTGCTCCTGCAGTTTCCCAGGGCAGAGCTGTTCTGCAGCTCGGTGTGTTTGCCCCTTGGCTGTATCTTTTCTCAGAAATGCAGTATAGATAATGGGACTTTCAATAGTCCTAAATTTTTATTAGCTGCTACTGTGAATGTCCATGGGCTAGATTATGTTTAAAAAACAAAACCCAACAAAACAACAACAACAAAAAACCCATAGTTTTTTAAGGTGATGCAGCAGTGATTATGAAGGCTTCAGTTTTGGTGCCATTGAAGGTGACAGGATAGCTCAAATTAGCTTAGGTTTAAGGTCAGGATATTGCGTCAGGTTCAAAAATGCACTGTGAGCTCAATGTCATAGTGAAGGGAGCTTACTCAATATGGTAAAGGGAGTTTTTAATAATATATTATTTTTTCTTGACTTTTTTTGCTTTTCAATTGTTATTAAAATAAAAGAATAGAAAATGTTCTTAGATGTAACTGCCTATTTCTAAACCATGAAGACATACCTCAAAATACTTGAGGCAAAACTCTAGTTAATGATGCAGGGTGGAGAAATATTTAAGAGTAAGGTTAGAAACCTGCATGCAAAGTTGGAGACAAGAGTTGCTGTGTTTTTCTCTAGTGTTCTACACCATATTTTTTTTAGCTTTTCTGAAAGCTAGAAATAGCAATGACTTTTTGTGTATCATAGGAGTCATCTTCCTTCTTATGGTCTCTGTGGTGTGATAATGATTTTAACTCTGGAAATATATGGGACAGGGAGCTACTTATGATGCATGTATAACTGCATAAATAGTTGAAGTAATGTATGAGGGATGGCTGTTCCTAAACCCTGTGGTGGAATGTCGTGGAGTAGCAGTACATGTAACTGGATTAATTATTTGCATGTTATCAGAAGTCACATCAGAAGCCAAAGCTTCAAAGTTTTATAAGCAGGAAATAGTAGTGTTGTTTTCAATTATATGCATTCTGTGCTGTAAGTCATCTTCATTGGGTTGCTGATTCTGATGCTCGGAGTAAAGTTCAGAATAAGGGTTAACTGGGAAAGGAGGCAGGAAAGAAGTCATCTATGTGTAGAAAGATGAGTGGAAGGTTAAAATGATAGTTTTCCTCAGTGTACATGCAAATGAAAATTAGTTCAGAGTAAAGGAAGGGGAAAAGATTGACTTTTTTTAAATAGTAAAATTTTAGATACTGATCTAAAAAGAAGATAGAATTAAAAATGCAGATTTTGAAGAGAAGTTTTACATGCCTTTTACTCAAATGTTAGCCATAATAATTTTTTTTTTTTTCATGTTATCCTATACAGGAGGATTGTCAGGTTCTAACAAAATTAAAGATCAGTTAAGCAAGGTAAAACCATGCTAATTTGAATTAAAAGCCATGGTCACTTACCCAGCAAAGATCTTGGAGATCTAAAAGCCAAAAACATTTATTGAAGCCAGTGACTTTTGAGTACAGAACTGGGTTGGTGCTTGGATTTCAGAGAGATCGAATTTGTTGCTAAGTTGAGATGTCTTTGGAACTGGAGATGTGTTGAAAACTGTCAGTTTGTATTCAAAGAAACGTTGGCAACAAAATGCCGCTTTATGGCTGTAAATGTGCAAATATCGTATTTTAATTCATGCCTTGACTTAGTGTTGTCTGGATGAATTGTTTTCAGAAGGTTTTTTTTACTTTTTTATTTTTTTAAATAGAGATTTCTTGTCCTAATTTTGTCAGATGATTTCTTTCTTCTCCTGCACGAAGTAGTTACTAATGGACATGGAAAGCATAGTCAAAGATAAAGTTTGAAATACAGAACACTTATAATTGAGATCTGTAGCAAATTCAATTTAGTATTTTTAGTTTATGTAAAGAATCAGTGTATTACTGTTTTGAAAGTATTTATTGTGTCCTCCACTGTCCATTTGTGTGTCTTTCCTCTCTCAGGACTTTGCTCTCCTGCATTTGGGCATTTCTTCTGCTCACAATGTTCTTAACATCTTTACTTTTTTTTTTTTTTTTTTTTTTTTCTCTTCTCCTGAATTAAGGAAAAAATGTACTTTTACTTTATTTCAGAGTACTATAAATCCTGTTGACGCAGTGTATCAGCCTAGTCCTCTGGAACCATCAGTGATCAGCACAATGCCTTCCCAGACTGTCATACCTCCAGGTATGGTGTACAGAAAGGAATGTAAAGCTGCAGTCTAAATGCAGAGGCTGTTTTTCCAACAAAAAGCACAAATTCTCCTATTTAAACATGGGGTTTTTGTTTTAACATATGAAAATATCCCCCTAGAACCTGCTCAACTGTGCAAATCAGAGCAGCGACCCTCATCCTTACCAGTGGGACCTGTGGTAGCATCACTTGGAAATCAGACTCCAACACCAAATAGCACAGGTACCGTTTTGTGCGACTGTTGTAACAAAGTATAAGAAACAAAGCCTGAATATATAGTGTTTGTAATCTAATGTAACTGTCTATTATGATAATGCTATATTGGCTGATTATAAAGGAAGAGTTTAAACCACTAGAAATTTTGTTCTTAGTCTTCTCTGTGAGAGCAATACTGATATTCCCAATGATCACTCATCAGAGTTTCCTCTTTTTTATTCTGATGTAATTGGGAGTAAGATGGATGGTATACAACTAAAATGAAATTGAACTACAGAGCTTGTAAAATTTTATTGCATTATAGTATTTTGTTCAAATACCTAAAAGCTATTCTCCCTTGAAAAACATGATGAGATATTGCCAAAACTAAAGTTAAAAAGAACTTGAAAATATGACCTGATTTATTGATGGGTTGTAAATCAGAAAAAAAACCCTCACTCACTACTTGGCCTTCATTTATATTTTAATAAAACAAAAGAAAACAGCCCTTGTTTGTGCTAGCTGTAATAGCAATATTCCAAAAATGCCTAATATGACTTAAGAGCAAGTCTTAGTGAGGGGAAAATATCAATACAATCTAGATGATTGCCACTGGCTTTATAAAACTTTATTTTTAAAGACTTGGAAATTGATTAATATATTACTATATGCTCTCTCCTTTTTTTTCTGTTCTTCTCTTATCTTAAGTATGATTTAAGAATGCAGAAAGAACATGGAAATTGTCATCTTAAATTAGACCTGATATCTATCTTAATTCATTACCTACCTGCAGTTGTTTCAGAAGAAGCAATAAGAACCCTGCAGAAAGCAGCTCTGGGATAATCTACCTCTCAGCAGGAGGTGTCAGCTTGAATGCCAACAGCTAGAGCTTTGCTTAACCTTTGAAGCTCAAGGTTTAATACTCTTTCCACAGAGTTTTAATAATTAACTATCATGTAGGATACTGCTAACTATAAAAAGTCTTTAAATTCTGAGTTCTTGAGCTCAAACACCTCATGTGAAATGAATTATACAACATGTAGTTAAACTGTGAGGAAAAGTCTTATTTGTGTACAGGGTTTGGATGCCTTATCTGATGTAATAAGGAAAATCTTGTGCCTTAAAAACATTTGAAACAATATAGGATATATAGAGAATTTCGCCTTCGTTTTTCATCATATACTCTCCCGCTCATTTACATTAAATGTAAGCTAGTTTTATGAATTGTTCTTTCACACAGTTTTCTTTGGTCTTTGAATACTTTGCTTGAAGTCCACTAGCATCTGTTATAAGAGGAACTAATCAATATTGCATACCTGAACCAGACTAATTATCACTAATTTTTTAAGTTATCCTATCTTCTGAGTTCACTTCATTTATTAATTTGATTTAGTCATAAATTAGAAGTGAGGGATTTTAAAATCATTTCTGTTTTATTAAATCTGTAAACCTTTCTAATGCTCTGTAGGAAGTGGACAGTCAGCACCTAGCAGCAGCCTCACTTCTCCAAGCCACGTCAATCTCTCTCCAAATACAGTCCCGGATTTTTCCTACTCAAGCAGTGAGGATGAGTTCTATGATGCTGACGAATTCTATCAGAGCAGTTCTTCCCCAAAGCGCTGTATAGAGTAAGTAGCTGGAAGAGTGCAGAGTCAAGACTGCTGAAAACAGTGCATGGCTTGTCTACTTTTAGGGGTTAATCTAAAAAAGCAAATAAATCATACTGTCAGAAATAAACTTTTTCATGTAACAGAGTGAGATCACTCCACCACAGCACGGTTGTCTGTCCTCCCCTATTCTTCCTGTACCTCCCCATTACACGTGACATATGCACTGGCAAAACCAATGCAGCTCAAATTTGGGAAGCCACCTGCTCAGAAGGAGAGTTAATCTGTGACCATTGGATATTTCATACGTGTTTGTTTCAGAAGTTGGGAAATAAATGATCCTTCTTGGACTTAGTAGAGAATCTTGAAGAAGTTGATTTCTTTTTCCCAAAAATCTGATTACAGTCTTTCTTTTTCCTTCTTTAAATTAGAAAATTAATTTTATGACATAGTATGTGTTTCGTTGAGGAATTATAGTCATTTTTGTGCCTTAATCTTACAACCTTGAGCCTGCAGGCTTTCCTAGGCACTAGGCTTTATTCCATTTCAAGTTTTCTGTGAGTCAGCATGTAGCATATGCTAATGTCTGTCACTGATCTCCTTAGGAAATTGATGCCAATGTACATCAAATTCTAATAACTTGGTCTGAATTGGCTGATTGTGAATAATGAAAAGTTAATCCTGTTCTTCAGTTCTTCAGGGTCTGCCGCCGTTCTGACGCGCAGCAGCACAGGGAGCAGTCTGAAACGCCCGGATACCACAGAGTCCCTCAATTCTTCCATGTCTAACGGGACAAATGATGCTGGTGAGAGAACTGCATTAGCTTTCAATAGGGAGCTCTTGCTTCTGATATACATCAACACAGTTTATGACATATGTATGTATGCTTGTGTACATGACACAATACTTTTGGAAAATGGTTTGTCTGCTGTTCCTTTACTAATGGAGAATTGTCAAATTTGAAGACTTTAAAACCTTCATTTTATGATTAAGGTTTTTTTGACACCTAATATACATGCTAAATTAAATATAGTCATTCTTTGAAGATGTTGTATCTTTCAGAAAAGAATGATGAAAGCTGTTTGTCTTTTTCTTTAGATCTTTTTGATCCTCCTGATGACAGAGATGATGATGGGGAAGGAGAATCGGTAGAAGAACATAAGAGTGTTATTATGCACCTCTTGTCACAAGTTAGATTAGGAATGGATCTAACCAAGGTAAGATGCCTACTGTTCATTTGCCTACTGTTCATTTAAGGGACTTACCCTGAACTATGTGTAAATCAATATTAAAGTGATATCCTAACTGTACATTTGTTCTGAGACCTAGTTGAGCTTTAATGTCTTTTGTGTGATAAATTTATGAATTGGGGTTTTTACTGGGTAGAGGAAAATCAAAGCAGAATAAATATAGCTAACTGGTAAAATCCTGCAGACTGGGGAAATAGGTTGAAAATGGAAAATAACCTGTCTGTTCACTTTGGACCTTGTCTGTAGACTTGGGAATAAGAGGAATATTGTATGAAGTAGTGTCTTTATCCAGGCCTTCCACCTTCTAGAGCAAGGATATACAAGATCCAAACATTCAGTAACATTCAGTAAGATAAAATGAAAAGGAGAACTGAGCATACATTGAAATGCTTTGGTTAACTGGGATCATGTTGACTAAGTTGCTTGCCTATTTTAAAATGCTGCATGTGGGACTGGCAAGTACTGAACTCCAGAATGTGATTCATGATGCAGTGAATAACATTTTGGAGGCAATGATTTTTCTAGAAACCTTGGTTACACTTAAACAATAATTCTAGATAACATCAGCTTCCTTAAATGGGTGACTTTCTAAACTCTCTAATCTGAAACAGGAATGGACAGTAAAAAGATGAACTGAAAACACTTGTGAGGAAGTAGCTAGTAGCTCACATATAAATACAGGTTTCCAGCTATCCTGAACAGTAAGCAATCCAAAATATGTCTGTTTGGGGGCTACTCCTGAAATAGTCCCGATGTTACTGATACCACAAGTTGCAAGAAAGCATCGAGTGAATGCTTTTGGTCTGCATCACTCTGAAGTCAACTCCAGCAATCCACACAGCTTTCAGCAGTGGCTTAAGCTATACTGGATCAGGCTGAGCTGGTCCACATGAGTGAATCCTATGAATGTTGTTGGGGAAGAATAATGCTAGGGGAGAGAGTAATTTTCATCTTGATAGAGGTGAGAGTGAAATGTCGTTTCCACTGGATATATAAGAGGATGTGACTAAATGGAATGAGGTTTTGGCAGTAACTGAAAACTAAAACACAGTCTACACATAAGAGAAACTAAAGGTGATCAGTGGTGCTATATTAAAGAACAGCTTTCTATAAGCTTAGCCATAAGGTGCATGTGCTTTGGGTGTGACTCAAATGCACACAGGAGGAAGCAATTCAGTTAGACCTTAGGTTATACAGAAGATGCCGGTTGACCTGCATATGTCTGAACTCATTGGTAAGTTGAAGAGCACAGTTGACTTAGACATAAAAAGCCTTGGGCAGTGTGTAAGCTATTTGTGATTAGTATGTAAAAAGCTTTTCTTTTCTTTTTTTTTCCTCCGCTTTTTTCCCTAGGTGGTTCTTCCAACTTTTATCCTGGAAAGAAGATCATTGTTGGAAATGTATGCTGACTTCTTTGCACATCCGGACTTATTTGTCAGGTACTTGATTTTTAAAGAGCATTTTACCAGGTCATGTTATTGTTACAGTTCTTGTGGACTGACTAAAAAGTGTTACTGGTTTTGAATAATACTGCTGGAGTTTTGATCTAAACTTGCAAGTTAGTCAGTTAAGCGCAGTGCTGTCTAGCCAAACTTCTACGTATTCAAAAAGTCTGCTGCATTTGGGGCAACAATACTTGGAACATTAATATTTACATTTAGATTCCTGTGAGGAAGCAGCGACTTGCTTGTGTAACATATTGCCTAGCCATGTTTTTTTCTCTTTTGTTTCATGCAGCATCAGTGACCAGAAGGATCCAAAGGAGCGAATGGTTCAAGTGGTTAAATGGTACCTCTCAGCTTTTCATGCAGGAAGAAAGGGATCGGTTGCTAAAAAGCCTTACAATCCCATCTTGGGCGAGATCTTCCGGTGCCACTGGGTATTACCAGGCACTGAAGGTGAAGACGATATGGTTAGTTTTCTAGTGGTATCTGGTTTTGGTGCTTAGAATGAACACAAGTAATTTCCTAAGCTCTATTAAGGTACTGATTGAATGTCTCATACTATATTTATGTAGCCAAATTGACAAAAATGTGGCAGTATCTGAGCTATTTTTTCTTCCTTTCTCCTTTTCCTTGGGCAGATGATGTTTAAAGTATCTTGCATAGCAAAATTGGAGGTTTTTTTTAATTATTTCTAAAAACCTTTTGACTTGTTGAAATTTTTTTTATGAATTGTTTTCTAGCACTTGAGTATGAATTTTTTTTTTCCCCATAATTCTGATCTTACCGGTTCTCTAATCCCTTGCATTTTAATAGTGAGGCACTTGTATCTGTTCTGGAGATCATCTGCTAAAATACTTTCTGTAACCTCGGTGCAGTATGTCCTGCATGTGATGAAGAGGTGTAGCATCTTTCCAATTTAATGAGTTCTTGATGTTAGAGGTATTTGTCTTTTATCAGAGCCACTTTGTGGAACCACACAAATTTCTAGGTTGAAATGTGTGCAATCCCACATTGCACTTTAGAGTTTCTTTTTAAAAATCAGCATTTCTCCTCCCTTTTATTCAGATCAGTCCTGAAATTAGCATCTCTCTCTTTCTCTCTTGCTCTTTTTCACATTTACTCTTTGATTAAATCTTTCTGTTGTTCTTGTGGTGAACATTTGGACTCTGTTGGCAGAAGACAGTTTTGTTGGTGTTTCTAATTTCTGAGCTGCATTTCCAGTTTTGTCCCAGGAAATGAATGTGTTATATGGGTGTGAGATGTACAGAATCTAATTATTACTAATGTGCACCTCAGACTTGCTCAGAAGCAAAAATGGAAACTTTCTGCCACCCACCTGCTATTACTTAGGAAGAAGCTAAGCAGATTTCAATATTAGTTTGTAATTGGGTTTGTATGTGATAGTTCCAGTTAAACTGGGACAATTGGTATCATGCCTCTAAATACTTATATTTAAAAAAAAAGATATATATATATATATATATATATATATATATATATGAGAGAGAGAGAGAAAGCAAAAATCGGAAGGACATCTTAGGTTTAGAAATAAGGAGTTATTCCTTACTCAAATGAGTGAATGGGCAACTGCATTAAGAATACTGCAATACATTTTTAGAAGCCTATTTTAAATGTGGAAGTCTCTTCTCTTAGAAGCATCCATTCACGTTTTGGTGTTTTGAGAAGACCATCAGTGAATGAAAAAGCCTCCTTTATTATCTTGCAGGAACCAGTTTCAGAAGGACCAATTCCTTGGGTCAGTAAGAGCAGCGTAACGTTTGTGGCAGAGCAGGTCTCTCATCATCCTCCAAGTAAGTTGACAGTAAATCTGCTAATACAGCTGGTATCTCATTTGTCTGGATAGGCATAATAGTAAAGTCAGCTTTTAGTTTAGGTCTTCAGTTTGTTTTCTGTATGAATTTGAGTGCTAAGAGTTGTTTTCTCTAAAGACTGGGTTTTAATGAGAAACGTTTTGCAAAGTCTGCAGCCATGTAAGTATTAGACCCCTTGCAATATTTCCTGATAGATTAATTTGAGTAATGTTTTTTTTTTCCCCCTTCAGTTTCAGCATTTTATGCAGAGTGCTTTAACAAGAGGATACAATTCAATGCTCATATATGGACCAAGTCAAAATTCCTAGGAATGTCTATTGGTGTTCATAATATAGGGCAAGGTAAGTGTGAATTTAGTAAGAGAGAAATTAACTTTCTGCAACTCACATTTTTACAGAAAATATTTCAAGTCATTCTCTTAAACCTGAGGAGAATTTGAATTGATATAGCTGGATTTTACATATCCAGAAACTTGAGAATCCCTGTGTAGAAAGCTTACACAAAGTGTGCTTCAGCCCCTCTCTTTGGAGGAGCACCACAATTCTCCCAGCTTTCTCTAGAAGCTAATCCTACTTGGCATCTATGGAAAGAATACAACTGTTCACCTTTCTCTTTTATTTTCTGTCTGCTTTTAATAAAATATTTCAGGAGATTGCTATGAACAGTTTTCTAGGAATTTTGCTAGATGTTTTTAAATCTATGTTTTTCTTTGATAGGCTGCGTCACATGCCTAGACTATGATGAACACTATATTTTGACCTTCCCTAATGGTTATGGAAGGCAAGTAAATGCTCTAGCTGATATTTTCATTTTTAATGCCTTTTAATACGTAAATGGTTATTTAACACTTAAAAGGCTATAAATATCCATTTATTATTGCAGATCTATTCTCACTGTACCATGGATTGAACTGGGTGGAGAATGCAGTATTAATTGCTCAAAGACAGGCTATAATGCTTCCATAGTCTTCCACACAAAACCGTTTTATGGAGGAAAGAAGCACAGAATTACAGCTGAAATTTTGTAAGCCTCTTTGTGTCTTTCGTTCATCTCACTTCTACCTGCTTATTTTTAAAGAAGTCAATTTTATGCACTGCTGTAAAATCCTGAAACAGCTCTGCCCCGTACCCTGTTTGTGTGTCGTTAATATTCTGCTGCTAAATACATTTTGTACTTATTTAAACCTGTGTTCTAGTGTGTTTTGCTTAGATCCTGTGCACACAGAATCTCATCTTGGAGGGCTGCTCTGCCACTAATATAAACATCAGAAAGGGATGCAGGCCAAGGGATGTTTATAAACTGTTTTTAAGTCACTTCGTAGCACTTGCACTTTGCACCTCACTTTTAAAATAGTCTTTGTGTTTTCCAGTAGAACCAGGCATAAACTTAAGAGCACTTCCTAGCTTTTAAAGACCTCTAGTTCCCTCCAGATCTGTTTTGAAAGCCTGTTGCTGGTTTCCTGAGCTTTTTAACTGCAAACCTAAGGCAAGACCCATTGTATACTGGAACACCATTTTCTTTTAAGGGTTGTGCCACTTGAACTAAACCCTCCCCTCAGAAACAGAACTTTTGTCTTTTCAGTGTCAGTGATTGTTGCTTTAAGCCCTTTACATCAACGAGTAAAGTTTGGATCCTTGGGCTCTTTTGGTTAGTGTAATGCAAATAAAAAAATGACTATTTTTCTCTCTCTAGTTCTCCTAATGACAAGAAACCCTTCTGCTCCATTGAAGGAGAATGGAATGGTGTCATGTATGCAAAATACACAACAGGGGTAAACAGCTTCTTTATTTTTTCCTTTTTCAACAAGAAAACAGAAGGGCCAAGTTTTTAAATATGAGCTTTAGTAGTTGTAACTCCTATAAAGATTCCCCAAAGATCACAAGAATACTTAATTCATGATAAGAGTCCTGAATTTATTTTGTTAATTTATTATTACAGTAGTCTGACTGTCCTCTTGTTATAAAAATAAAGAGAATAATATGTTAATGTATTTTCTGACAACCAGGAGTGACATACACGTGAAAAGTATATATGAAGAACTCGGTGGTTTTTTAATTTTATTTATTTTTTACCTTCTCTCTAGGAGAACTCTGTCTTTATAGATACCAAGAAAATGCCTACGATTAAGAAGAAGGTAAGGAAACTGGAGGACCAAGAAGAATATGAATCTCGCTGGTAAGAATTTGAATTGAAAATTAAGACATTTGTAGTTAATGAGCACCCAAGCCTTTATGAACACTGCGACTGAGTGGATGCCCCTAACGCCACTCATTGCACAGAGCTGTGCTCTTCAGTGGGCCCCTGTGCAGGACAAAACCAAGTTCCAAGCTGGTCTGGGTTTTAAGCGGGGAGAGGAGATCTGCAGTTCTCACTCACAGAGGCCCAGAGAGCCTCTTCCCAAATTTCCCACTTCTGGCAAAGTGATTGTGGTTCAATAAATATTTTATATATTTCTGTACTTTTGATAAATGTAACCTACCTTAATTCATACAAATAATGATAACAATAACATGTTTCTACAACCTCCTAGCACTATCTGCTTCCATACAGCAGTCTTTTCATTCAAACTTGTTCTTTTTTTTTGTTTGTTTTTAAAGCTTGTGGAAAGATGTAACCTACAACTTAAAAATCAGAGACATTGATGCAGCTACAGCTGCAAAGCACAGGCTTGAAGAGAGACAAAGAGCTGAAGCCAGAGCCAGAAAGGAGAATGAGACCTCATGGGAAACAAGGGTGAGCTTTATTCAAACAGCAATGATGCCCTCTGACCTGTAGCATTTTACTGCTCCTTTCCAACTTAGTCATAAAACGCTTACATTTAATTATCCTGTCCCACTTTTTCTAGTTATTCCACGAAGACGGAGAATGTTGGGTTTACGACGAGCCACTCTTGAAACGACTTGCTGCCAGTAAACACTGAGCGGCTTGTAAAAACTGCAGACGTTCGAGCCTTGGCTTGGCAGAGTTTACATCTGATACCAAGATAGTCGCCAGTTATCACGTATGTAACTTTGGGAAAAGCTGCCCCTCCAATTACAGTGGTTCCTATCTCAGGGATACTGGACTTACTGATGCAGATAAGCATTTATTTGAAACAGAAAACATCCTGGCTGTGCAGTAACCTATATTGGACTTCGCTATAATGGTAGTATTATATTCAGGCTGCTGGAGACCTTTTATTAATACTTCTGAAGCATGGAAAATCTGGGCTGTGAAGTATACACTTTGTATAACCACTGTAAAGGCCATGACAGTTGGTATCAGGTGCATAATATTCCTGGGTCCTACACAATTAAATAGCAACAACAAAAGACATCATTTAAATCTAGCTACTGTTGGCAATGTGTAAATATGAGGATTCTGCTGATGGGACAGTTTGTTAGAAAATGCTACATAAATGTTATCTCCCACCTGTATGATAATCAACTCTTTTGGCATTTCAGTGTCTTGCCCAAAATAACTTTGTTATTTTATTTTAGAGATTAAAATGTAACCATAGATAATGCATCTTAAAGCTTCATAAAATAGATTTTTCAAACTTCTCTTACAGACTTTTATTTATTTCATAATAAATCTTTGTAGCAAGATTGTTTTTGCAGCTGAACGATGATCGGTTGTTTTATGTGAAATGCAAATATTTTTGTAGAGGAAGCATTGTAGTTCCTTAAGCAGTTGTTAAACTAGCAAAAGAAACAGAGTTTGTACAACACGGAGCAGAATTCTTCTGGCCTTACCTCTCAATAACCACCTTAATGGGTAGGAACCTTTGCATTTCTGTGATTTAGCCTGAATTTAAATAATGTTTGAGGAAGCAGCTATACACAGCAAACAAACTACTTTTCCTTCATTTAAATTAGCATTAATTTGATTTAACCTCAGTTTTGCCAACTTTGCACATACATAAAACCTATAAAAGCAGTCTAAGATCGAAGCCTTAAGGTTTGTTGGTTTTTGCGTTTGTTTTTTCTTCTTCCACATGCACTTTAATTCCTACAGGAGAACTGCAGAGTATTTTCTTTGAGGAAATGTAACTTCTGGTAAGCAATTGCCACAGCACTGTAGGACTGATGCACATGAGAGCCTGAACACAAGGCAGCTGGAGAGGAGCACACGGTGTTTTCTAGTGAAGGGAAAAGTCCCCCCTCTCCAGCAGGAAGTCAGCGCTGGGCCTGTTCTTAACAAACATGGACATTAATGAGAGGCTGTTGGAAATTGCTTGAGGGATGGTACCTCAGTACCTGGCTGGACTGCCTCATCTCAGCTACCACTGCAGCTTTGTTAATAAAACCAGTTTTGCAATGTTTAAGTTGTAAAAAGCACCTGTATTACACATCACTGCAGGGCAAGATGTCACTTTTATTTTAATATTTTGTGGTAAGGGAGAACATTCAGAGTAGATGTGTAAGCTTTGATGTCCTTGATGGAAGTAACATCAGTCATCAAGGAGGATGGGGGTAAGAAAGTAAGATGAGGTATTTCACCAGATGAAGAATTCTGTGCTTCTGAGACAGCTGGAACCTCTGAGTCCCCTTCATATTTTCCAAATCCAACCACCTGGAAAAGTTGCCAAAAAAGAAATGTCTCTTTTATAAATTACACTTCCTTCAGCGGTCATCTGCCCTGAAATTAGATGCCTAAATGCAATCTGATTGCCAATATTAATTAGGAAAGTAGGAAATATGAACAATAGGGTGGAGAACTAACAAATTAAAAATGAGACCCTTGCAGAGATTTCAGGGCATTTGAGAAGTGGACGCGCAGAAGCACCAGGCAACACTCACATGGACGCTGAGCACTTTTCTTTCGCTGCTTCTGTGAGCTTGGAACCAGGTGACCAGGTCTGATTTAGTAACAGACTTCAGAGCTTCAATCTAAAACCCACAAAACACAGAGTGATGAAGCAGAAATAGCACAGGGAGGGACCAGCTCTTTTAAACCCAAGCACTATCTCTATGAACTACATCCCATCAGATAAAGGAGCCCTTAAAGAAGAACAGGGATGTTTAAGGGTCCATGTATCACTAATAGGCACCGAACCTTTTGCAGCCATATTCTATGTCCTGTTTGGCATTATTTTCAAAAACAACAACAAAAAAGAAAATTTCACTCCTTGTATTGTGAAATGAATTGGTAACTACCTCACGGGCAAGCCTGTCGAAGAGATACTGCTGGGTCACAACTTCGTTCCAGTTCCTGTCTACTTCTTCTCCAAGGTGGGAGTCTTCACATTCTTTCAACTTTATCAAGGCTGTAACCTACATTGAAAAAAACAGAACTAGTTTCTATAAACTAGTTTAATAAAACTATAACAAAACCATATTATCTTTCATCTACAATGATACTAAAAGAAATCCTAGATTACACTGAACAAGACCAAACTGTAAAATTCTAGAAGAGTGCCAACAGAATGAGTGTGGACAGAGAGAGGCAGAATTCAAAAATAAGCCCTTTGTTCAGAAAACCTCAGAAATAAGCAAGACCTGTAACCACATCCTCCACTCTCAATATCATTTAGTGGTTAAAGGAAGAGCTTTTTAAGATCAGCTTTTTACCTGGGTGCTAAAAGCTTCTTCGGTTAAATGCTTGATTTTCTCTTCAAAGCAAGAAAGAAACTCCTCTATTTTCTTGTCAACCAATTCAGAACTAAAAGAGAATTAGTTAAATTTATCTCAGAGAGAAGGAAAAAAAAAAAAAAAAAAGGAACAATGTTCAGGTGTAAAGCAGCAGAACAGCAATCAAGGAAACAGGGAAGGGGGGGGGGGGCTCTGCCCCTTCCCTCCCCTTGGAAAGGCCACCCCTCTGTGACCATCAGCCTCCTTCTTCCTTGTTCTCAGGAAGAGAAAGCAGCTCTCAGATTCAGCTGTATTAAGCACTGCTCAAAGAGAAGGCCTTTATACAACCAAGGAGGGTTTTCCAACCCCCTAAAGCAGGGGTAGCTGCTGTGGCCTTAAACCCCTGGAGGGGCTCAGGCTCTGCTGAACTAAGCACAGCTTAACAGGGGCTGGGGCAGGACCAGAGCTGGAGCTCCAGCTCCGAGCCCTGTGCACTCACAGTTAAATTCTAATCACTTGAGCTAAGAACAGAAAGAGGGGACGTGATGTGATGGCTTGTGGCACCTTTGAAACATTAAACCCTCACAGATGACAGCTAAATCCTGCAACTGTCATTCAGATGCAGAAATGGGAGGCAGCAGTACTCTCTGCTAATTAAACTTTCACTGACAGCAAAGCTTTTTCTTAAGCTGCAGATATTTTACACATTTGCTTTAACACTGACAGACACTCTAGTACGGGTGGCTGGAGGAAATACCTGCAGTCAGCTCGAGGGTTAAATGAAAACACGGTGGTTGGGCTGCTGAAGCTGGGTCAGAAAAGCAATGTAGGTGGTGGCCGCTCCTGGGAGGATGTGTTCAAAAGGGCACTGTGCTATTTTTACTTAATCTGTGCATTATTTGTCTCTCCATGCAAGTCAGGACTGCAGCAGTTGCTGAAGCTTAAGGTTTTTGCTTGTTTCAATCCCTGGGCCAGGAATGTTACAATTCAATGCAAGCTCTGCTGCTTTCACATTCCCTTCGGGATCACACAAAACTGCCCACGTTGAATGAAAGCTGCTGGCCCGAAACAAGCAGATGTTACTGTGTATGGCTCTAAAGTGAGGGTAGGTGCACTCAAAGGTCAGGCAAAAGCAACCTTAACTGAGCCACGACCTGCTCTACTAAAGCAAAAGATTAAGTGACCTGCGCTCAGGACTAATTCCTCAGCTGGATGCTGTGCACAGCACCTAAAACAGAGCATGCAGCACGGTCACATATTTCGTTTGCCACCTCGCTATAGCCAGCAAGTCTCATACACCTGCTACCTAACACACGCATCACCCCCCGGCACCATGTGGGACGTCACTTCTGCCAGACCCGGCCGGCGCCTGTGGAGGAGCCACCCTGGGCTCCTTTGCCCTCAGTCTGCAGCCACAGGAGGAGCCAGTCGCAGCAGCCCTTTGCACTGCAGAACTGGACGAATGTGACATTCGCGGGCCCGGTGGCGAGTGGAGGCAGGAAGCACCGACCCCAGCACTTACTTGTACTTGGTTGCCTGTGTGGCTACTGTGACGGAGAAGCCCAGGATGCCAGACGTGTTCCTGCAGGTGGGGTACACGTGGTAGCTGAAAGCAAAGCGGGACAAAAGAGTCATTCCGTGAGCACAGTTCTCATCTACATCTTCCCCAACTTTCTCCATCAAAGCACTTCAATTTTTTCTCTGTTTTAGGACATTCTTTTAAGCTTTGCAAAGTATTTCTGTTTGAACTCATGTCCAGAAATTCCCAAAGACAAAATGATGTGTCTGTAGCTGTGAAAAGCTACAGACACAGTTGCTGGGAATAGACGATGCCTCTGGCAGAGTCCTAACTACCACCAAGGGGCTACTAAAGCAGGCCATGGGATGGCAAACTCTCTGGGAAGCAGAAGGAACAACTTTCTGCTCATTAATTGCAGGTCAGCATACTGGCAACAAATACAATTCTAACTGAAGAATTCTAACAATTCTAACTGAACAGGCTGAAGTCTGTGCTGAGGGAGGCTCTTGGTTTTGAGGTGTAATGATGCTCTTTCAGTTACAATAAAACAGGACTTAGCCATGGTGCAGGAAGAGGATTCCAAAGTAAAACTAGTTGGGAACAGCAAAAGCAGGTGACAGAGCTCTGCAGGTGACACAGAGCTCTGCAGCTGGAAGAAACTCACCCGAGGGTCTGCTTGGTTCTCAGGAAGTCGAAGCAGGGCTCCTCCATGTGCATCTGAAACGGAGCACAGGCGCGTGGGGCAGCAGCAGCAGCGCTGCCCTGCAGCCACCCCGCGAACTGCCACCTTCCCAGCTACATCCACCGAGCCAGGACAGGCCACAACCTCTGGGGTGGCACTTTGGAAACGTCACCTTTGTCCAGGTAACGTCACCACTGCTCACAGTCTGATCAGCGAGCGCTACTGTCACCTCTGTCTCCCTCAGCCCCAGGGCCTTAACACAGCTCCAAACACTCACTGTTTTTCAGACAGCTCTCCCAAGGTTATGGCTACTAAAAAAACCCTACTTTAAACAACACAAACATCATCCAACTTACCACAAGCAGCTCCATAAGGGTGTATTCCCTTAAGTTCCTGGCACCAGACTAAAAAGAAAATTGAGAAGAGTTGAGGATGATTTCATGGTGTTAAGTGCCATGGTCCAGATTAAGGTGACAGCTGTGACATATAAACCTCAGCCTAGACTGCAGCATTAAGGAAACTACAATTCACAAGGTAGGAGAGAAGTTTCACCCAAGACCGTAAGATCAGTGGTAGGGGAAAAAGAAAACAACTCAGGCACCAAACCCAGCTACTCTCTGCTAGCACTGGCACAGAGAAGATGCGGGTTTGAGGAGAAGGGCAGAGAGCAGCACAATGACAGGCATGAGCCCCTGGGGCTGCAGTCACTGAGGCCTCTGTGCACACATAAAATCCCTATCCAGGGACCGGCTCTCAAGACAGGGACATAAGTAGAACCACAGCATCAGCGTGGATTAGCAGGAATAAACTTGTACAGACCAAAAACTAAGACATTACCTGGTAATAAACTGTTACTTCAGAGTTGGCATCACCTTTGTTGAGAGTTTTCACCTTGCAGAGCAGATGGGCGTTTGGCAGATCCACCACCCGGAACTGGACAGGGCAGGGATGGGCCAGAGGAGCGAACTGGAGCTTTCTGAGGGGAGCACAAACAGCAACGTGTCAAACACGCTCACACCTTGGCCAAAAACAGTAACACACCCCGGGCCTTTACATGCCTAAGCTGATGTTATCTTCCTTTCCCCAAACTGGAATAATGTCCAGCTTGAGCTGCCACCACAAACCACCCCCTCCAGGGAGCACTGGCAGCTCTGCACCCAGGATGGGAGAAAACATTTTTGACACTGCTCCCACCCCAATACCTTCCAACAAAAAAGGTTCTTATTTTTTAGTTCCCCAGGGAGAACTGTGCTACTCACTGAACAACGTAATTCAGAAAATCCTTTGCTTCCTAGGAGAAAACATAAACAGAAGTTTTAATTAGAAGAGAATTATAAGCCCCAAATCCCAAGCAGCCGCTCAAGTAGAGCGCTCGAGAACGCGAGGTCCACGTTCTGGTCCCGAGCTCCCGCAGCCTCCCCAAGGACTCGTCCTCTCCCAAACCCCCCTGACGTGTCAGGACCGACACCTCAAAGCAGAACACAAGTCCCCAGTCGGGTCCCTGCACTTTGGCTTCCCAGGAAGGAGAGGGCAGAGCCCGGAGCGGAGTGTCAGCCAACGCAACCACCAGGCGCAGCCAGGAGGGCCACTAATGGCAGTGAAGGTGACAGGGCTGCAGCGAGGGTCACTCAGACCACGCTGGCAATCAAAACACCAGATAAAAACGTAGCTTGAGGGAACCTCCCCCTGCAGCACCATCCTCAAAGTTAATATCCAATAAAACAATATATCAAACAATACCAAAACTGGTGACAAAGGTAGACTCAGGCTATGTGAATATATTCACATTTTCTCCTCTTGACAGTTCCCACCCAAACCCCTGAAGAAAAACTGCTCTATTCCAAGAGGCAGGTAGGGGCTCCCCGGTGACTACTCGTGCTCCCCAGCTGCCCCCCGGGCTGCCAGTGCGGAGGGGCAGCAGTGCCGGGTCAGCGCTGCAGCGACGGCAGCGGCGCTGCGGCTCCCGCAGAGCACGAGGGTCCAGGGGCGCCGGCTGCCGCACAGCTGCTCACCCTGCTCGTGAAGTTTCCTTGAACGAGACCCTCCACGAAGAGCTGCGATTTGAAAGCCTTGACGAAGGCCGAGAGGGACTCGATGGAAAGGCCGTTCATCAGCGTCTGGTACTTGTCGATCATGGACCACCTGCTGTGCTCCAAAATGAGGAGACGCACGTCCCTGCAGCACGGGAAGGAAAACAGCAGTTCAAACCATCAGGAGCTGTTCCACACAGTCACAGAAGGGTTGAGGTTGCAAGGGACCTCTAGAGATCAAGTCCAACCCGCTGATGAAGCAGGGACACCTAGAGCATGTGACACCGGGTGGCATCCAGGTGGGTTTTGAACATCTCCAAAGAAGGCGACTCCACAAGCTCTCTGGGCAGCCTGTGAAGCTTGTTGCATGTCAGAGGTCCCATCACGGCCTCAGGAACATACCAGAGATGGGCAGGTGGTAGCCAGGAGCATCACTACGGGCTCACCCTGCCTTCCCTTCACACCCACTGTGGCTGTGACCAGGCTCAGCAGCACCTACCTTCCCTCCATGACCCCCACCCTGGGCACCTCGAGTTCTCCAAGACCCCAGCGGCACTGCAAGAGCCCCCAGGAGCTCAGGGCAGGGATTCCCGAGCTCTCCAGCTCGACCTCAGCCCCCAGGGAGCCGCCTCCTTCGCCCTCCTGCAGCGACTCACTTGGCCAGTGTCTCGGGCTTGATGAGGATGTTGAAGTAGGTCTTCTTCAGCTGCTCCGTTATCATCTCAAAAACTGCTGGAGTGAAGCTGAAGTCAGACAAGTGATCAATGATGAGCTGAAATAAAAGCTGGAAGGAAAAACAGCATCAAGTCATTTTTCCAAAAGACAACCAGTCTAACCTGTTCTTTCACGTATTAAAAAATCCCTCTTTGATCAACATATAAAAAGCCACAGAGTCCAACTAAGGCACATTCCTAACTAGATACTACTAAGCCAAATTATAGTCAGTTTCCAAAGGACAGCAGTTTTATAAAGTGAATTAAATAATCTCAGTATCCTAAAAAAACTGAATTTCTTGCAGCCCAGTTTAAAAGAAGGGCCATTAGAGTTAATGCAAGTACATTTAATACTTGAAAGCAGCAAGCCAGGCAAAAGTCAGTAATTTGAGCTTGTAGAACTGAACAGAGCTGTGTCTTTATACAGGCAATCAGGTGAAAAGTGTTTTCTTTATTTCCCTACAGTCGAACACATGTTTGGCAATACCAATTTTCCAGTTAATAATACCCCATCTATCCACTAAAAACTTCCTAAGTCATTCCAATAATATGGAAGCTGAATTTCTAAGAAAGTCAGAAAAGCAGCTCAGCCTCTGCTAGCAGAAAGAGCCCCGGCACTGCAGGGTCGGTACTCTGCAGCGGAGCGGCACTTACAGGTAGTTTGTGGTTGAATCCCTTCACTCGCACGACCAGGCCGTGCTCCCCGGCTACCAGCTTGTACTCCAGCTGAGCGACGTCCGCTTCGTAAGCTGGTTCAGCCAGGTTGTGGGAAAGGATGTTTACAAATGTGTCAAACAAGACTATGCTGCATGGAGGAGGGGACAAAGAGTCAACAACAACAAAAAAAAAAAAAAAAAAAGAGGAAGATGGAGTAGGAAAAAGAGAGCAAAAAAAATAAAAAAAATCAAGGTCAGTGAGTTTGATGCTGATGCTAATGTTAATTTCCCAAAAGTTGCTCTGAGAATGACACACCAGACCGTTTGTTATAATAATGCTCTGCAGCAGAACCACTCCCATCTAACTACAGATAAAACCACTGCAGAAGTACAACAACGTGGGCAAAGGCAGCCATACCTTATTCCATTTTAAAATGAATCTTTTTCTGTACTTTTTTGGCTATTCATGAGAATTCAATTACTTTGCAAGATAAGCACAAATAACATAATCCTTACTTCTCTGCAGACTGCTGTATCAACGGGGAGATCAGATGGAAACGAACATAAGCTGGTGAGGAGAAAGAGACTTAAATGAGCAACTTCATAAGAAGCAGCAGCTTTCCAAAGGCAAATACATTTCTATCAGGTCATTCTTTGGCCATGGCATAACCATGGCCAATGAAAATTTTCTGAACAGCTGAGGGGAAAAAGAAAAACAGACTACAGATACTAACACAGAAGTCTTCCTGTTTGGGTTATATGTGCAGTGGCCGGCAAGGCAGCACTCGCACATGAAACACAAGAGGTGAGAAGCAGCCACAAGCCCCACAGACCAACACTACTCAAGTGCCCATTGCTTTTCTCTTTGTTATTTTTCCCAGTTTGTGAAGTACACAAAGTGAGAGGTTTTTACCTTTGGGGATTTTGAATTTGTCGTCCTTCCTGTACCAGAGACAGCCTTGCTGCGTGCTTACTGTCTTCACTGGGTATTCTGTCTCGGGGCAGTCAGCAACTTTCAAAGCAAAGTCAGTGGCTAATGTAAAAAAAGAACACAACCAGAAAGGGAAGTTACTGCACTTCGTAGCCACAGCGAGGCCACATACACACAATTCACACAGTGCTAAGCAAATAAAGTTTCGCTCCTCAGGTGGCCAGAGCTCTGTTAGTCCTCCCTGACTGCGTGAGGTCGGCTCTGTTAGTTACAAGGATCCATAAACTTGCATCCTAGAAACAGTCAGTTATCAAATTCATAAATAGAAGAGTATTAAATAAAATGTGGATGAGCATAGTTACCATTTAAAAAAGTTAATGTTCAGATGGAAATAAAATGTGTATCAAAACCTTGGCAAATTTTCAAATAAGCTACTGAGAGAAGATTTTATTCGTGCTCAGGTGCCTTACCAATGTATTTGTTTTCTTCTGGAAGGTGTAAATCCTGATTTAATTCAAAATCACTGGCCCACAAGTCACTCCAGTATTTGTCAATATCTATTAAAAAAACATGAAATGTATTGTTTAACAGAAAGTTATTATTACTTTATTCTTTCTATTCTATTGTTCTGTTCTCTAGAACAGTTGCTTTATCTCTTAATTTTTGCAGCATTCCACAATACTTGCGCTAAGTCTTCGTGTCATCTGCTTCATCAGAATTGTGCCTCAGTCCCTTCCCAAAGCTCTCCTGGTGCAGGAGCAAAGCGGCCCTGGTTAAAAGTAAACCAAGCCTGCAGGTTTTGGCAACCCAGCTAAGCCTTCCTTGTTGCCTCTCCTCTGCTCCGTGCGGGAGGAGGACCTGCTGCAGCCCCTGCCTCCCTGCACCTCTGAACCAGGGAGGTGGAATCCACTGACACTGAACAGCGAGTGATTAGGCAGTGGGACAATGTGAGCAATGATGAGGTCATTCTAGCACTGCGCAGCCATCTACCCTCTTCTCTGTGTGGCTGTATTTGGCACTCTCACCCTTTTAAAAGCCCTAGTGCAAACGATTCCCGATGTTTCTGCTGCTGCTGCTTTACCTTCCACACTGTACTGCGTTCCAAACCACTTCTCCTTCAGATGACACTGGCCCTCGTTGGCAGCAGAGAGCAGAACGAGGTTGGCTCTCTGAGGTGTGAGCTGGTTGAGGGCATCAGCAATGACCTGCAAGTTGAGCACAAGGCGTCAGCTCACAGGCTCTGACCCCGGCTCTGCCTCGCGCTCTTCATCTGGACACACGAGCAACACGACATTATCAGCTTAAAAAGAGATTTGCCTTCTGAGTGAAGCGGGATCCAATTAAAGCACCCCAGTGTGTTTCCTTCACCAATGCATGTAAAGTGGGAAGAGTGTTTACCTCAGGCTTGTACTCAAATAAGAGCTGGTCTCCTGTCAGAAAATCCTCCTTCTGAAACAACTGCATGTTCTCACAGAGGCTTTCCACATAGTCAACTGGATCTGTCTGTAAATACATTGAAAAAGCTATTTTTCACAAACTGGGAAACTAGAATATCAACTTTCTGTGCCGAGAACATCTTGAGTGGTCAGGTAAATTAACATGGGTTGCAAGCTGTGGTTGTTACTGCATTCAGTGTTGGTTATTAAGCCAAATATATTTCTTAATCATATCTAATGCTCAGCACTTTTGCAAGGATCCTGAAACATCAGAGACATCATCTTTACAGAAGAAACAGCCTTTGGCATATGCTTATAGTCATTAAATCTGCCAAGTCAAAATCCCAGTATAATGAGCTCCTTTTCTCTGGAGAACACAAGCTAGTCCAGCAACTCAGGACTCCAGGAAATCCAGAATTTACAGTGATCTGGAACCCAGATGGAACAAGCTGAGGAGCTGCAGGGGCCTCTCTTCGATCCTGCCCCTCCTCCAGGTTCTCTAGGATGATGTGCATCCACAGAAGAAAAACATCCCGCTACTTGGACACAAAAGTACAGACTGTTCTTGAGCTGTGTAAGGCTTCTTGTGCAGAGCTTTTTGCCCTCTGGCTGTTTGAACCAGCCAGCATCATGCTGCACAGGTTCTGCATCTGGATACAGATCATGCTCTAGGCAGGACTGTTAGGAATCGCTGCTTCTCCAGTGTGAACTGTGTTTTCTGTGCCCTGTATTTTCTGACTTGCTACTGGAAAGTACTATATGCTCTTTAGAACAGTGTAACAGTTTTGGGGAGCAAAAAAGGCCAGCTTGGAGTATCCAAAAGAACCAAGATGACTAATTCAAAGCTTTCAGAGCTTCATCTTGATAAAGTCAAACTTCAAATGGGACAATCTCATTTCCAGTGATTAGGAATTGAACATAAAAACTGCGTGTAGGACAACTGCTGTTCTTGCTATGCTCATTATGCTCATGTCACATTATTGCTATGCTCATGTCACTATTAAATAGTCAGCACTAAGATATACTAAGTTACTTTAAATTGGTATAAAGTTGTTCCTAGTAAAAAAATGCACAGTTCTATTATACACTATTTGGGGTTACTGGCAGCAGTCCTTGCTGTCTCCAATACCACTTCTAGTATTTGAAGGTCACTGAAGATGCTCCATAGTTCTCATCTGCCATTTTGAAGCCAATTACAGATGCAAGGATTTGAAAAGGAAAAACAACAAAAATGGCATTTCCATCATCCTGATGCTCACAGCATACTGGCAGCTCTTATTCTTTGAAAAGGCCTAGAGCACCTGCAAGGAAATTAGATTCCCTTTTAAGGGTTACCAATACACCAACAGAAAACAGTGCATACCAACCTGTTCCTGGTAGTGAAACTCATTAGCTTCAATCTTCTGGATTTCTTCCCATATTCTGTGAGAAAGGGAGAATAAGGTAAAAGTGGCCTTTTGCACTACTTCATTTATCAAGAAATTGAAAATAAAGCAGCCTTTTAGGAAAGTCATCAAGACCGAGTTTGTCAACAGGGACTCTTACAGGTACAAAACCCATGTACAAATTTCTTTCTCTCACACACACACACCTGCCCCCGACACAAACTCCTTCCATCCAAACAGCTGAGTAGGTTTCATAATTGGTGATTACTTTTCTAAAGAGGGACAGATATAATCACGAATTGTCAAAATCTAGTTTCAAATTAACAGAAGGGTTAGGTCCAGAACACCACATTCCCAATGCCATCCACAGACCTGTCTCAACAGTTGCACCCTGCTATTATTTTTTTTAATTAATGCAAAACTGCATTTTATATTTATCTTTCTTCAGCTTAATAAAATTAAGAATCAACTCATAACAAAACCCTTCAAAGCTCCAAACTTATCTTGCAAACTTATATGAAGTTAAACTGATGCATCTTTCCCACTAGACAGTACACATGCTATAAACAAAAGGCTAATGGAGAGGGACAATCTCAAGGTAGCTGATGTGATGTCAAATTCTCACCTTTTCTCTGGCCCTCTTTTCTGCAACATCTTCAGATACTGAAATACAACATGGGCAACCTGCAGACCGAAAGGAACTGATTAACTTTCCAAGGCATTAGGAAAGCAGCAAGAAAATCAAGTTGCACTAAACCATACCTCATAGAAGTGCTTGTAACCTTCATCGGTCAAAGTCACAGAAATGCTGAAGATGGAGTAAGTAGAGTTCTGTTCAAAGCCTGTCTCACCATTTCCTCCATATAATGCAAGAGCCCAAAATCTATGAAGAGTAAAACATCCATTACCTCTTTCAGTTTTCCTTGCAATTAATTGCAATTAGCATATTAGAGCTTTACTTCCAAGGTTTCACATCTGCTTTTAGTGTACAAAAAGCTTTTCATGCTATGACGTGAAATCTAGAATACAGAATTTAAGACAAAAAGTCAAAAAGCTAGGCTATCTTTTGGAGAACTCTTAAAATCAGTCAGGGGAACCAACAGTCCATAAACAAAAAACAGATCAGAAACCATTTATTTCTTACTTGGGACTATCCCCGGCTTCAAAGAATACCACTACAAAATATACTAAGACAGACTTGCCCTGATTATATTTATCTACCAAAAAGAGTAAAAAATAGAGGTCACCTTTAATTTTAGTAAAGCATTTGATTACTATGCTGGAAAAAATACATACTTTTTCCTAAGAAAAGAAAGAACACTGCCTTTGCCTTCATGTCCCACCAGCCAGGAAATATAATGAAGTGGCTTCACTCTAGAAGGGAGAAGAGAGAGAGAAAGCAGTTAAATGCCAGGAGGTAACACTTATTACAGGAAGAAGGCAAATCAATTCACAAATGACTATAATATATGCTATTTCTTCATGAGAAGTATTCCATTTACTGATAGCATTAAGATAACAAGTTAGAGATGTGGGAGTCCAGAATATGACAACTGACGTGAGTCAGTGAGGGATGACATTAAATTGGTTGTGTGCCAATCACTGAAATTATGCAAGAACTATAGCTGCATAAACTTAATTCTTAATTCCCCATTCTGAGGGAAAGTCAGTTGTAACACAAGTGACAAGTAAGATTTTTTGGCTTGTTGTGAAAATCAGTAAAGATATCCTCAGTGTAAACACTGTGCTAGGGAAATGCAGCTCCACCTTACCTGTAATACCGCTCCTGTGGAGGAAGTGCCCAGGTGATACTCAGTGAATGAACTTTCCTGATTGGAACAACTGAGCAGGAAGAAAATTAAGGAGTGCAAATACATCATTAGCAGAAGATAAGAAATTTTGCATAATGTATAAAGAAGTGAAAAAAATTTCAGAACCACTTAGAACTACTCTACAAAGTATCCAGATCCCTGTGAAGAACAAAGGAAATATGAACCTGTGTGTTCAGACCTTTCAGACAAATCGGCTTTACTCACCTCTGTAGAGCTTGTGAAATTCTGGTGTGTCAAAAGGCTGAGTCAGATGGCCAAAGCTGGGCTTGGGCAAACCACTTGAAAGGAAAAATAAAGTGTGCCTGTTAGTGGCAAGGCATCAAGGCTGCACAGGGATAACGACAAGCAGCTTAGCATCCACGGGCTGAAGTGACAGAGGAGCTACCCCAGCCAACCCAAAAACGGCTCTTAACAAAAAGGTGCCACTTGGGATCCCCCCAGCCCAGACTGGAAGGGAACAGCGTTTGCTCTCGCCATGCCCACACAGCAGAGCCTGGTGTGGGTTACCAGGGGTCAGCTCAAACCTCTCCCGCTCCTCCTGTGCATGGCAGCAGCACCTGCCTCTGGCGCCGGGACGCCCAGCCCAGCGACAGGCTCCGGCTGGCAGGACCCTTACGGGGCGGCCGCGTTGGGAGGAGCAGCAGGAGACGGGTGGGCACACGAACTACAGACTAACGTGGCACTGTGTGGCACTGAGCTTTCACAAGTGCATTCCCACCACAGAAATAGGTATCTTGCAAAAGTGAAAAATGAAAGGGGAAAAAAAAATGCTCCTTAAGGTCGGGAAGTTTCTTGCAGAAATCCCACTTTGGACCCCACACCAGAGTGACTAAAAATAGATCAAATCCTAATCATTTGGCACTCTAAAAATGACTCTTAATTTCCTTCTCAACATGCCACCTTAATTTATTTTGCTGCAAAGTATTTTTGTCAAAAGCAAAGATGAAAATTATAAAATGATCCTCTATGTTTGAATGGTTCTATTGCAAAATTAAGTCATCAGCACAGACTAAGCAAATGCTACTGCAAACTAGTGCCACACACGTGCAGGCTAAATACACAGTTTTTCTGAAGTAAAGACAGTTTTTAACTTCTCAAAGTGTGTTTTTTTCTGTTTAAGGATAAACACATATTAAATAATACATATTAAGTAGTACCTCTGGTAAGGGATTAAAAAAATGTCAGAATGCTACAGTTTGTAATGTTGTTTTGTATCAAAAGAACCTTACTTATTTGGGATCTCAGAGAAGATTTCTGTCACCCACTTTTCCAATGTATCCAATGTTTCTAGTAAGGAGTAAAAAAGAAGAAAGTTAGAAATTAACTTCCTGAAAAACTGAGATAATTTATCTTGCCTCACCAGCCAAGTAACTTTAAAGAGGCTGCAAGTCAGCATATTTTAAAATCGGCAAGTTATAAATTATAAGCTTCAAAGCTTGTTTGAACCAGCTTTTCAATTTCTCTGGACTCTACCTTTGGTCATATCTCTGCTTCTGTATATATGTCCAGTATTTCAGAGCTGAGACAATTGAGTTTTAAAGCTTGGTACCAGCAGATATGATTGTCAGCTACCAACTTAGGAATTTGCGAAATCCCTGGTACCTGCTAGATTCAATTCCCTCACCTCCAATCTAGTGCATCCACAGCAATTTGTGCAGCTAAGCACAAAGTGCTAAAAACTCCATCCCCCACTTTCTTTTCTACAGGAAACAGGTTAAAAAGTAAAAGTTTCCTTTTTAAAAAGGAAGCAGTGCATGAAAACGAGTATTCAAAAAGTGATGCTGTATTTAAAAACAAAAAGGGGAGGGGGAAGGGGAAGAAAAGAAAGGATTCAAGGTATGTTTTGTTTTAACAGAGAGAAATATCAAGTTGACCTGCCTGGCTATCAGTTCCCATGCTTTTCTTTCAAACGCCAGAAGAAACAACAGCACAATTCTTTGCTATGCAAATGATTATTCAAGAAAAAATAAAAACAGTGCCCCAATACATTTATAGTCTAGACAGAAAATAAAAGGGTACAGAATAAAAGAAGTACCACCTCCCTTTTATAGACAGGAGTTGCAATCAGTTGCAGGCATTCAACAAAGCACTCGAGCACAAACCAAACCTGAATGTACTCAGCTATTTATTTTCAGCTCACAAGTACATGCTTAAGTTCTAAGCAATTTATATCTTTTTAGTCTCAGAAGAAAGTAACAATAGGCTTGAAGGGCTTTGCTGAAATGAAACCCGAGGTGTTTGCACAGCATTTTTCACTCTATGGGGAAACTGTGTTTTTCTATACAGGAATGTGTTTTACTTTAAAGCCTCTCCTGAAAAAGACCTTTTCAAAAGAGCAAAACAATTGAGACACTCAAGTCTCAGTTTCTCCAGCATTTTCTGTGCAGGTTCACTACTGACTGCATGAAAAGAACCAGTACTAAGTCATTTAAGTGATAAGATCCTAGGTTCCTACAGTGTTTGTTTACAAGTATACCTTTGAGACTCCATCCCTCATGTTAGTCTGGAAACCACCCAGTTCTCTCAGTTAAAGGTTTCTCAAGAAGTGGCAGGAGGACAGCAACACAGCACAACTGTTTAAGCCTCCTTTCATTTGGAAAGCAAGCTAAAATCTACACGTAAACACCTCCTGCAGGAGGGGAGGATCCACTGAACAGCTTGTGCTACAACCAAGCTAGAGCCAGAAGAACCACTCCAAAGACAGCCTAAAGAACTTGCTTTTATGGAATAGCAGGCATTACCTTTAGACTGGACAACTAAAGTCATATAGTGAGCAGAGTAATGGCGCTGCCAGAAGTCCCTCAGTCTCGTGTACGTATCAATATTATTCATTTTAGGCTCATGTTTGAGCGTATCTGCGTTACCTGTAAATGTAAAAAAAAAAATGGTTAGTTATCTAGATGCTGGCTATGTCAAGGCCAGATGTACCTTGAATTTCTTCTCCTCCTCTGTCAAAGAGTTTACACCCAGATACAAAAAGAGGTCTCACATATGCATGTATGTGGAATGGAGGAAAGAGCAGCCAGTTCTAGTGTCTGCTGTCAGCCAAGCTAAACGCCCCCACAGAATTTCTGTAGTAAGCACGTCAAAAATAATCATTAGAAGTTTGGAGGTAAAGGAATGATAACTGAAATCAAACTTCTTCCAGTTTCTAGCTCCATTATTGAGAGCAGTTGCTATTTCTATGATAAGAGAGGAGAAAGTACTTCTTCATACTTATCACCTACACTTTGTACAATGTAGCTCTTTGTGTGTGCTGCCAGTTACTCTTTCACCCACACAGCCTTTCAAAATGGGGGAGGAAAAAGCATTTAAAGGATGAGGGAAAATATGACTTTTAGTATATGCCACTAAATTTCAGAATTCAGATTAATTATCTACATTTCAAAGTTTTCTGTCTCTACTACCCATCACACTTTGCAATTTAGTTCTAATAATTTATTCCTGCTACTCCTAGCAGCACAATAAGCATGAGGGATCTAAGACTCTTTTCGGATTTATAGTCCAGAATAGTAATGTCAAATTTCCCATCTACTCCATTCACATGGCTGTGAAGGTCTATATCTAAAACTTCGACAATATTTATTTTCAAAAGCTTCCTTAGATTCAAATCCAAAAATATTTCATCTTTCCAAGGTATTTTAATTGGGAAAGAAAAAAAAAATTAAGTGTTCTCTGAGTCATCCCTGCCTGTCTACTTTTACATTAACAAAAAGTTACAGTGATTATAACCTTACGGCAAAGTAGCTTTAACATCAGCAAAAAGCAGCACCAGAGTGAACCAGCCATACTAAATGAAGGCAGCTGCTTCTATTCCCAAGTGCTACAGTGTTAAATGAAAAAGTGTTCTCATACAGTTGAGCAAGTCTACTCTTTGCTGGGATAACACATCTTAAGTCAGTGAATCTTAAGTAGATAAAAATTAAGTAATATTATCACCACTTTTATTGCATTAATGCAGCACTTACCCCAAAAAAATTTCTTCATAGGATGTCCAGGCCTGGCAAGGCTCCCAAAGAGCATCTCCTTTCTGTTTGCATCAGAGGGTCTTGCTAACTGATACTCTGTTAAATTAAAGAATTTTTAATATCATTCATCAAAACGTGAGGACAGGTTCCTATGCAAAACAAAATCACTTTGAAAAGGAGACATTTCATACAAACACAGCTTGGAATATTTTTGTTTTCATGGAAGATGAATGTTAAGAAATACGACTTTTAGGTAATAATAAAAAATAAAACTTAGTTTATTGCTGAGAAACAAAGCAAGGGAAGCATGTAAAGCCCAAATCTGTCTCATCTGAACATTCTAAAATTCTGTTAAACTCAACAGGAATAAAAAGCCATCAATTTTCTACAGTCAGGCCTCGCAGCAAGGGCCAGAGAAGAAATATGCCTCTCTCTTGTATTACATAATACAATTTCTACCAAAATAATAAAATCAGAAATTGAAAGCTGAGCAAGAGAATTTTCCATAGTTCCCTTTCACAAGTGGTTTACACTGATTTGAACATAGACATCCATCAAAAAGCAGGAATTCACTCTCTGCAACCACACGTTCCTGCCCCTGTATTGGCTGGTAATAAAAACATGCAGAGCAGAGCTGAAAACTGAATCTTTTGGCTAGATCACACTGCAGCCAGTTCTTCAAGCTAGTATAAGAGAAGTGCTGAAGAAACCATACCCAAAATTATGAGAAAAGTCCCTGATTATATAACAATTTTTAAAATTCTAAGATCCAGTTGCCTGCTTTTCCTTTTCAGTGGAAAAATGAAGAAAAACTAGGAATATGTATTTGAACTGTTAGTATATTTGCCAATAGAAGTTTTTTTCCCCAGACCGTCTTCAAAAATTCACTCTTTTAGCTATTCATTATTCATTCAGTAAGTGAACACTCATTTTTAAGCCAGGTTCCATTTCCTTCTGTGAATCAGTCACACAAATTCATAGCTATTAGAGGTGTTAGGGTTAGGAGACAAGATACAATAACCTCCCCTCTCTATATTACCTCCACAGAGGGCTGGAGATGGCACTGGAGCTAGACAGGAGCTAGGTACCCATATGCTCCTTTAACTGTCTTACTGGTTGCTGCCAAACAGTCCCAAATAGTTAGTTTCTGATTAGAGAAAAGACAGGGTAAATTCTCTCAGTGGAGGAACTACCTTCAGTGTCTCTCCACTAGGTAGCTGCCAATACCCACAAGGTTTAAACAGACATCTAAGAGTCTAATCCCTCAGTCAAGTTGAATGAACTATGACAGAATGGTTTAAAAGGAAAAACGAGAAGCACCCGATGTTGTCAGGCAGGTATCATTTCTTTAAGATGGGCTAAACAAACAAATAAAAGAAGCTCTTACCACTGTCTACAGCCTCAACTTCTCGATCTATTGCATCCCTGATCATGAGTGGGTGAATAAAGAATTGTGCCCACCTATGAAAGAGAAAATTCATATGCTTTTCTTCAGTGTCTGTTAAGCTAGGACAGAAACAAACACACAAGAACAACCAACACCTACTACTTTTAGCTTATAAAGTGGTCTAACATAACAAATATATAATTCTGGACTGCATTGTCTTCAGGAAAGATTAAGCCAGTTCTGTGATAGCTTCAGAAACCAAAAGGCAAGGGCACCCCTGCTCCATAACGTGCGAGTGAATTGGTTGGATATGACAGGATATCATACTAAAGGATGCAGGGCATCTGCCCTTGCATCCTGAGGATGATCACTCCAGGCAACAAATAGTTGATTTATGCCCTGAAACATAAGTTTTTATATCTATTACAATTTTATTATCTAACATAAGTGTGAATGTTGTTTTCCAGATACACCTTTTCTCCTGTAACCTTGGAGAATAGGATAGAAGGGGGCAGATAGCAGTGACTGGAGACTGTATGTAAGGCTGTCAGATAATCTTTCTATTTTAACTGTATTATTTTTAACGTTGCGCTGGACTTATTGAAGCAAAAGTTTAACAGGAAAACATTACTAAGTTCTACAGCTATACAATCCATTAAGCTAAGGGTTATTCCCTTCTACTGCTTTGAAACGGGATGCCATTCAATTTCTTTGGTTCCAAAACTGCTTGAATGAACAGAAATTATCATCAGCACCCATGCATCTTCTTTACATGAGATACTATTTTATCTAATTTCTGTGTTTTCCTTCCACTAATTGAGCTCCACTGATTGACTGCAATAACCTTTTTTTTTTTTTTTTTTTTTTTTTTTGGTTCTTCTGCACTTTCAAATTTCTAAAAAATTAGACTAATCTGCAAATGAAAGCCAAATTTGGTGCCATTAGGAGGATGTAAACCATGCTTGGTAAAATGTGCACACTCCAGTGAAGTGTTGGCTTCATTGGAGGAATTAGAACAGATTCACACTGGAGTCTGCTCTCCTCCTGAGATATTCTGCAGCATCAAGTACACTCAGCTGACATGGGCCCATGAAGGAGGAATTTCCTCACACAGAAGGCTGCTGATGAGAGATGTGGTACAGCTGTTGTCCTAACACAGCCCATAGCACAAATGAACAAGGTAAATTCTTCCTGGCACAAGACACTTTGCTGAACAAAATTGCTAAATGTATCCCTCTGAGGCACACAGTGTAACGTATCATGGAGGCTTTTCCTCCTTGATAAAATAGCTTTAAAAAAAGAAACAAAACCCACTAGTCCATCCAGATAGCTATGCCAAAGGATGAGTCAATAAAGATTCTGGGAGCATTTCCCCTCCGAACAGTTGTCATATTGAATAAACTATTACGAGTTCTCCTGTCATCCAAGTTAAGTGCAGTAAAACAATCAAAAAGCTGGGTATTAAGACATATGGTCCTTACACATGGGTTCTATGTCATTACACAACAGCTGTACAGCCACCAGCTCAGGAAAGAGTGTAGTATCTAAAGAGAAACTGTATTTCCTCATGTTCAGTACAGTTGTAGCACAAGGTTCTATGGAAGTTTAGCATTGGGATAGCATTAACTACCCCGAACTGAAGAACTGAGCAGCGACACTCAACCTGCTGAAACAAGACACAGCCATTAACAGTTAATGACACTAATGACACTTATGGGCAGTTACCTATCGAGCGCTTCTTTGAAGTATTTCCGCTGCACATCAAACTGGAAGACTGTCCGCTCGCAGTCGGTTGAAGCGTTGTCACTGCCCCCGTGTTTCTTCAGGAACACATCAAACCCATTCTCATCTGGGTACTTCAAACTGCCCATAAAAACCACTGGAAGAAAAAAAAAAATCAGTAAAATTAGGCAGGTGATATAATATTCTTTACCCCTAAGTGCAGCTCTGACGAGCCCTGTTCAGCGCAGCGTTGCCAACAACTGTCCCACAGTTCACACACAGCACCCACACAGCACCCGTGCAGCTCAGCTCAGCAGAGCGGCTCCAATCAAGCACTGACACACTGTCCTTGTCATGTCTGGCTTGATAGGGCCCAATTCCAAGAATAAATCGAATTTTAGGTTCTGGCATCTCTTTTGAACATGAGGCAAAAGAGCAGATGTGAGATGCCGAATCCCAGGAAATGGATTCATGTTTGGAATCAGCAAAGCTAAGCAGCAGCTTGAGGACATGGTTAGATGAACTATTTCATTGGCAATAACACAAGTTATACCCTCAGTAACTCGTTAATACTGTTTTTACTGCTTGACTAAACAAACTTCTAAATAACCTGGGACATAACACACTTTATTAAAAGAGTTGTCTTTGAACACAAATCTTAATAGATTACAACAACAGTAGTCAGTGGCAGAACGGAGAGTGCATCTTCTCCATCTACAGATTGTGTAATTGTGCAATTATTAGTGTAAGACACTCACACTTAAGACAGCAGTGCCTCTTCCAGGCACAATCAGTCCTTAAGTCAAGAGTAGTACATTAGAAGATGTCTAGTTTGAAACTTCATGCGGCTTTATTACTAATTCATCATCCTTTGCTACAGAGATAAGTCATCTATGACTCCAGTAGAAATTACTTGCAATTTACAAGACCAAAGATAGCCATGTCCCCTCATGTTTATGGAGGGGAGGATTTATCTAACTATTCAAAATAAAGTCCAGGGTAGCTGAAATAGGAAATCATCCTAAAATACTGCAGAACGTTAATTCTTCTGGACAAGAATTCATCTTGTCCAGAAGCAGGAGAGCATGTAGTAGGAGCAGACACATACTGTGTTCCAGGAAGTGCGCTAATCCAGGCAGATCTTCGGGATCAGAGAAGCTGCCAACAGCAACGCAGAGGGCGGCTGCAGACTACAAAAAAAACACAACACTCAATAAAATCCTCTTCAATTAATTCTTCAAGAAGTGCTCCAAGAAAGCGACAGGAATGAGAGTCAAATCAGTCAGTACAGATTTACTACAAAAGAGCTAAGTTTCAGAGCCCAAATAATTTTTTCATTCTATAGTTTAAGTACCTACCTGTTTTTCTGTACAACCTCTTTTTCTTGTTTCTTCCTTTTCAGCTAGCTCTTCTAATTCACTGTCATCAGCATCATTGAAATCCTCATTATCTCCATCATTGTCCTCATCCTCCTCATCACAGTCCTCCTCATCGTAGCCTTCTCTGCCGTCCTCGATCTCTGCTCCAGAGTCGTCATCCTCATCGCTTTCCTCTTCGGATTCATCGTCCTCCTCTTCTGAAGATAATGCAGACGGGGCACCATCCAGGTTATTTAAATCCGAAATTAAAAGTGCACATAAGCCATTCTGCAGCTTGATATACCTGAAAGGATAATTATTTACAATCACTGTGCTCATTTCCCAAGCAAATTCCCACACTGTCAGAAAATTTGTTTTCTACAATAGCTCTGTGTTCTTCAACTGAGATTTCTTAATAAAAATCTGAGACTAGCTAAAATGCTGAGCAACTTTACAGGAAAAAAGCAAAAATATGAATCTGTTTCCAATAAACTAAAGTTCTTTATGCTCTATCCATACAGCACCAGCTATTATGGAATTACTACTCAGCAGTGCTGAGTAAATGCACTTTTACAGTTTAATTAATCACTGTCATGCAGCTATCATAAACTTTAAATTTATGAAAAAGGCTAAACTCACATTGAAGTCATGTAGTCAGGGGCAGGCAGAGCCCACCCTTCCAAAGAAGCTGCAGACATGGGATCACAAGGCACAAGAGGGAGACTGAGGAGAGTGAAAATCCTGATTTTTTTAGGGGTGAATGGATGCTGCCTGTACACAGGATGGGCACAGAGCATGACACCAGGACAGGCTCTCACAAGCAGATAGGGCCAAACACCAATTCCCAGAGCAAGCCACTCACTGCACACTCAAGCCTCCGAGAGTTGACCAGACCACCATGGGAACAAGGAAAGAAGTAATTTATAGTAGTAATGGACGCCTTTCATCTTTTAAGGTTAGGAATGTGGACTTGAGCTTTTGTTCCTCTCTGTGAAATATTTATGCTATTAGCACCTTGCTAGAGAGAACTTCGTATACTCCGAATAGGCAGAGCCAAATTTCCAGAGAATATTACTGAAGGAGGAAGCCTGTTAGCAGCCTACCAGCCTATTACGCTCCTGATAGCAAGTTCATGTAAACATCTGTTAGGCAGCAGAGTTAGCATCTTCTTTGCCTTCAAATAGGTCCCAGAAACATTTTATCCAATTTTACTAATAGTTTCCACAGGAAGAGGGACAATTCATTATACAAGCATTAGAATAGATCTCTTCTGAAACCTTAATAAAATGCCTGAACAGGTCTATGCTTGGGCTGCTATCATGTAGTAATTCATATATACGCACACATATATGTGTCTATATATAAACATACACGTAACCCCACTGTGTCCAATAGCTTTTCAGAGCAAGGATAGCAATTATCACTACTTGGACACCAGATCTTGCACAAGTTTCTTGACAGATCAGGAATAGTCACAGTCTTAATATTTAATCCGACAAAAGCAGTGGTAAAACAGGGACGGGCGGTACCTGATCGAGCACAAAGCCTGGCAGTACAAAATTAGCCCTCAGTCCCATCACACCTTGACAACCTGCAAGAAGCCTGGGCAAGTCCAGATCAGATCCTAGAGCTGCAGGGAGGTGACTCGTTTAATTGGGCAGAGCAGCTTTATGGTATAGCTTGATCTGTAAAACTGCTTTAAGTACCAAATAAAAGGCACATTGGGTATTTTCCAAACCCTGGGTTCCTGAAATTTCTCACATATTTCATTTGCGATTACCATTACAAGTCAGTTTTTCCCTCTGATAAAAGCAAGTATATTATCAATATTCCAACTCAAAATATGCCATCAGTGTAAACTGCTCACACCGAGCTGCAGGCCCCTTACTGCGTCTATGCAGATCACAGAGCAGGCTCAAAACAAGCTGCTACCCAGGCTATTTATTTCCCAACTGAATCTCGTGGGAAAGCACTTAGAGGAAAGCGGTAGAGAGGGTAACAAGAGTTAAGCAGCTAAGAAACCAATACTTTAAGTTGTACTAAGCCTATGAGTTACGACCCAAGGGTGGAATAGTCAGCACTCTGGCCCAGTGCTGTGATCATTAACACCAGTTTTGTGTTCTACAAGATCTTTAACTGTTTAAACCTGATCCAAACAAGTGAAAGCAGAGTTGCTTTGTTCTTGTTAAATTTTGTTAAATTAACTCTAGCATAGCCGTGTATAATTGACAAAGACCAGGACTAACAGCAGAAACTACAGAGAGTAACTAGATCCAACAGAGAGTTTCTGGGTTCCCAGTCAACCATCCCTACGCGCTGGAAGTTTGGAAGAGCTGAGGGCATTTGCACCACATACACATTGGCCATCAGGCAACCACGCTCCGAATCGCAACGGGGATCCTCGGAGCAGCTACTGCTGCTGCTCCATGAAGTCTCGGCCTCGGGGGGCTCAAACGAGAGCCCCCGAGGGCACTGTCCACATCCCGGCCGCTCGGCCGCTTCCCTCCTGGCACTCGCGCCCCACGAGGGATATTCCCCTCCCTGGGATCAACACGCAGTACGGAGCGGAGGGCAGGGAAGAGAGCTGCTCTTCCAGACAGCGTTGCCACAAAGACGTTCAACCAGCTCCACCCGGTAGCTCTGGTTTCCCCGTGCCACGTACCTCCATTATACTAACAGAGCAGAGGATTTCAATTTTTCATTACTCATCCCCGGACTCGTGGGTGCTGCGTGTTAGGACAGAAGAGGCTCCCAGCAGCAGGGCACCCTTTGAATTGAGCAGCTCTTGCTCTCGGGTTTCAGTTAGGGGGAATCTAGAACAGCCCGGGTTGAACTGCACGGAGGCACCAGTTGACACAGGTGTTCTTTACTTTTTCCATGTTTCAGTCCAATGGAAAAGGACAAGTGTAATCAATACACAGGCATCAATTAGTATGCAAAACACAATAAGAATAACGTAATCACCGAATGCAGAAGCAAATGTGGTCTAGTTTCTTTTTAGCAACAGTATACTGGCATCGATACAAATAAAACTAAACAAAACACAAATTCCTACAAATACCAATAAATGTCATGCATGGGCTTAAGCAGGATTGTTCTTGCACCAAGTTATTTCCTTGTGTCAGTGATAACTGTTCAGCAATTAAATACTGAAATACAAATCAGCATGTGATAAATGCTTACAAAGATGTTTTAATTTCCCAAATTACCCCCCAAAAAACAATGCAAGCCCATGGAACTCCAAATAAGGATGGTGTCAAAAAGGAAGAACTATTGTTAAAGAAAACTCAGTTAAGGTAACTAACCAGTTTTAGCGCTGACACACAGCACCACCAAAACCAGCAACACTTTACGACAATCCTTTCTGAAAATACACCACACAGCCCCTGTCAGCATTCCTCTGTTTCCAGGGTCAACATATTGGAGAGGATAATTTAGTGGAAACACGTTGTATTTTGCATTGCTGTCACAAACTAAGACCACTGTCCCAGATATTCAGTGCACGTCACCACGTGCAGACAGGGGAGGGAGCATCATTAGATCACCTGCATTTAAGGTTGCTCAGAAGATTTGGAAAGGAGTTTGCTGACACCAGTATTGGCTGCTTTGCCTTCAGCATCGCTGAAATTCTCCTTGCTAAGGCAAGCATTATGTCTGCGTGTGTTTTGTGCAAGGTTTAATTACTACCAATCAATTTGAAAATAAGCGATTCTTAACTCCCATCTGTTCAGTACGGAGCGGGATTTCTGAAAGATTTTTGCTGAGTTTATTCCATTTTACAAGCAAAAATGCTCCCTGTTGGTTTACCAGGTGCTAAAGGTGGAAGTTTCCTAGGCTGGAAGAGCCTCTCTACAGAGCTCTACAGACAGACAGGCCTGTGCAAAGCAGCACAAGGAGACAGGCAGGACAAGCCTGCAGACACCAGGAGAAGGCAGCAAAGGAAGCAGGAGGAAAAGGCAGGGAGTCATTTTTCCCCTCTGCCAAGGGGGGCAGTCCTCTTCCCGCAGCCAGGGAATTTCACTGTCAACCAGCCTCGCTGCAAGTCCAAAACACGGCCTCAGGTTTAGGCCTGAGGGGCTCTGCACTGGCTGCACACGACAAGCATCATGAAGAAGAAAGATTTTTATTAAAAATGAAAACTAAATATGGGATGAGCAGTCTTCTGCCCGGCAGCAGAAGTTATCGCCGCGTTCCGTAGGGAACAGGCTGCCTGGCAGCATCCAGAGGGCTGGAGCTCGCCGGCCGCTTCCCGGCCAGGCCGCAATCTCTCCGTGCTCGCGCAGGTGAGCGCACGGCACAGGACTAATTTTCACCTCCACTCACGGGTGCATTTCGGGGGAAAACAAACCAGCAAAACCACGCACCCACTTCTGAGAGCCCCCTAGACCTGGCAAAGCAGCAGCCTTCGCTAAATAAATTAATTAAGGAATGGAAGGGGCCTCGCCTGCCCCGACGCGCCCGGGGCCGCGGTTCCTCCCGCCGCCCCAACGGCCGCGCCGCCGCCGCCCTCACCGGTAGAGCTTGGGGTCGCTCGGGGACTTGACGATGTCGCCGTCGCCCAGGTTTGCGCCCGGCCCGCGCTCGCCGCGGGCCCCCCCCGCCTCCCGC